AAAATTTTAGATTGAGAAAAACACCACATCCCTTGGAGTATATGTCAATATCGCTCCAATTTCAATTCTTGCACCACTAAAAGTAAAATGTGTATCCAATTGTATCTCATTAGAATCCCAGAAATTAAAGATTAAAGTAATTAGATGCCCTCCCCTCTGTAAATAAATTTTTCCACTGTGATATTAAAGTTCTATGTTAGCTACCTGCTTCAGAAGTTAAGGTGACACTGTCAGGCAAAACAAACTTGCTCATAAAAGATCTCGGCTCACCTACCCAAGACGAGATTGCCAATCCTTCCCCTTGGTCTTCCATTTTGTTTGAGCTTGTAGTTCAGCCATTTGACCTTTAGCTTGAGATGAACTGGGGAAATTAACTGAATAACACAAAGGCTAAACTTTTGCTCTGAAGAAGAGCCAACGCTTGAAACGTCACCTTCGAAGCCTTCTACTGTGGCCAGTTAACATTATCAACTCAGTTGATAAAACCAAATCATCTTGTTATACTCGATACCGACGCAGCACCACAGTTTCTTTCGAAACTTTCCCACTTTATTCATCTTTCTTAGTTTAATTGAGAGGTTTCACTTAAGAGGACTTTCGATTAAAGAGGAAAACGATACCAACAGGCTGTTTGGACTTTGTAAAGGATGACCACTATTGCTTCCTCTAGGACTTTGACAGCCGACCGCTTAATAAAAAGGTGACCGGTCAGAAAAGATCTACTGTACTTGTGATTTTGACCGGAAATATGTGACTTTTCGCACAAGCTTGTAATGGAGCACCACAACCTCGAAGAGCCTGAATTCAGTGTGAAATACGGTGATTATCTTAGGAATTCTATCTGACAAGGAAATTACTGTGAAACTCTAAAATAGCTCACTTGAAACACTGATATCATCAAAAGCAGAAGATCTCCGTAATAAATAAACAAGTATTTAATGCCTTAATTTAAAATTGCGTAAATAAATAAATAATTGTTTGTTATTCTCTCAGGAAGAGAGCGTGACAAAAAGAACGCAAAGGTAATAAAAAAATGTAACTCGCTGACGAAGGAAAAATTATGAAGAAATTAACGCATTGTTATTATCTAATGAGGGAAAACCATGATTGAAGGTATGCAAAATGGATTAAAAAGTGTTGTCATTCTATCAAACAAGATGAAAACTACATGCGCGCTAAGTTAGTAGTAGTAGTAGTAATCTTTAATGAGGATGCTAACGTTACGACGTGGTTTACAAGAGGGTGCTCAGAAGAATGCTAAGTTTAGATTAAGAACTAGTTCAACATACAAAAATGTAAAAGATTAAAAGAGTATATACAATCATCAAGCATTAAATATAACTAGTTAAAAATACAGGAATGCAAAAGATAAAAAGAATATACAAAGAGTAAAAAGCAAAGAATGTCGTTAAGAATCAAAGATAACTTTGGAGAGGCCATGTTTAAAAGCAGGCAGTGACTCTGCATTCCTTAATAAGGCGTCTAACGCTAAAATTTGCTGACGACCAATGGCCCCATGTTCTTGTGGCACTAGATTTGCGAATGTCATTTCTCGATCTTGTGTAGTAACTATGAAAATCACCATTGAATGTGACAGGGATAGAGTGACTGAAATGGTTGTTAATATATTTCAATATAAAAATAGCACGATGTTCCTTTCTACGTCGCAATAATGGCTTCCAGCCATGTCTCTTTAGCGCTTCAGCTGCAGAAAAATGCGCAGGAAGATCTAAAATGAGGCGAGCGGCCTTATTCTGTAACACTTGTAGCTCAGACATTAAGGAGGCATTTCCGCGATCTCCCTAAATGATATCCCCATAGTCAAAAAGAGGTAAAATGAAACTATTAAAAAAAAAACATAATTCTTTAGAAGAAAAGCAGATCAGCTTAAAGTTAAGCAGGCTTTGTTTAACGATTAACAATGACCGTATATGGCTACTTTGGAACAATGGCGGAAACAGCTTTAAAATACACGCGGGATTTTTCAAAATTTCCGATTATCATACGAGTAGCAGATTTAAACCATCAGCAGAACTGATGAAAAGACAAATCCTCCCCGTGGGGGTGATTTTGGTAGATTTTTTAGGATGCAAATAGTCACGGTGGGGTGGATGGAGGAGCGACTGCAGCTTTCGTATCTGAAGTAAAGAGTTGTCACCGTTTTTTCCTTTATATTGCTTAAAACTAGCGAAAGATATATTCAATTAGAGGCTCACTGTGCGATGCAAAGGTAATGAGAGCATGTGTAACCTGGTGTTAACGTCCGAAGCCTACCACGCCGTTGAATCATGTAGAAGACTATCGTCATTTGCTCGATTGTTTAATATGCGTGTATTTAAATTTCGCGCTGAGTGAATGAGATTTTGTTCCTGATCTGCACAAGATGGTTCACATTCTCCTTCCTCTAGCGTGTGATTTAAACCTAGTAATGACGTCCGAAGCCTCGCGCGTCGTTAATTCATGTAGTTTCATGGGTATCATTCTCTTTCCATATTTCAATTCAACGAAAGGAGTTAAAACTCGACCGTTCAATCCGAGCTATTTAAATTTCGCGTTTCGTAAGCAAGAAAAACTGAATAATCTCCTCCCACAATTTTTTTGTGTTTACACAAACCGACATCTAATTGATACCTATTCGTCCTTTTGTGTGATAGCAGTAGGTGAGATTTTTTTTCGCATAGTCATGTTCGGCTAGTTTTTTTTTTTTTTTTTTTTTGCTCAACAGGTTACGTCTATTAAATCACGTAACTGACGCTGTCAAATTCATCTACCAAATTTTAGGGCAACCAAATTTAGCGCTACGAAAGTTATCCTATTTTCTTAGTTTGTATGAAGCGCTGCGCAATCGCCTCCCATAATTTGCTTTCGCGCTATAAACCGCCTCCTAACAGAAACTCAATTGAAATCCTATCGTGACAATTTAACGTTGAGGCGCTTTGAAAACAATAGACAAAATTAAAAACAGGTAATTAAGTGTTAACAACTGAGTTGAAAATGTAAATTGGCCACTGTAAAGAGTAAAAATGGTGACGTTTCGAGTGTTAGCCCTTCGTCAATCGCTTTACGGTGGCTAATTTACGTTTTCAACTCATGCAGTCGTTAACACTAAATTACCTGCTATACTCTCCCACCGACGCAGCACCACAGTTTCTTTAGAGACTTAACCCCTTTATTTATTTAAAATTTATAACAGCACGCTTTGAGCATTGATTAACAATATTCAGGTTAGAACTCTTTTCACATCTTCTTAAAGCGATGAAAAAGATTACACCTTCGTTAGATGCCACGCGCGAGATAAAAGACAAAAGGAACAAAGAAAAAGTGATAACAAATGCGCTCTGCGAAAACCTCGAAAAACTTGCTTTTAGCAGTATTTCATTCTAAAAACATTTCTAGAATTCAGTTTTGACAGTTTTTAGAAAAGTCTTTTATGAGCAAGATCTGCTTTTCCTTTTTTAAAAGTAGAACGGTCACTCCAACTTCAAGCAGTCTCAAAGTACTTAAATGAATGACAATAGCAACGCTTTGTTCAACAAACGTTTCTAGATTTATTCTCGCTTCATCAACTATGGTTTGGTTACATTAACATAAGATAAGGGCAGCCTTACATTAGGGATTTGGTTGACTAAGCATTGCGACAATCCTATAAAAGACCTAACAGAAGAACAGATGATTAGTTCACGTTTATCTAGGCGAGAGAAATGTTCTCAAAGTTTAAGGTTACGTCCGTGTCCAGCGCGTTTACAACGCACTTACCACTTATTGAAGTGTACGAAGCTGAAATCAGGAGACTGAGAAGCGAAAATGAGTTTTTAAGACATCAGAACAACTCGTTGGTCGTCCAGCTAAATGTCGCCCTTTCCCAAGAACGCAAAAAGGCATCGTTTAATGCCTCGCAAAAGCGATTCTTCGAGTTGACAAAGGCAACCAGAAACAACAAAAAGAGGAGGATAATGGTACAATCGCTAAAATTCTGTGCTTTTGTGAAACAGGAATCTTCTTCTTAGGTAGACTTGTTGGTTCCAGAAAGTGAGCGCCTCATTAGAAAACAGCTGTGCGCCAGTGCCTGCTCTCTGCGAGAATTTGGAGAAGCTGTTGACAGCTCCTTACTTTTAACAAAGATTGTTAAAATCTGCTGTAAAACTCTGATAGCTTTTACTGAGAGAGACTTACTTTTAAGCAGGACCTGCTTTTTGCAAAAGATGGATTAAAAAAAACTCGCACCTTCTTCATTGTGAAACTTGTGAGTGAAAAAATATCACATCCTCATCTTGCCACGCGTTTGATTGAAAACGAAAATAACTCAAATACATGCTCTCGCAAAAACTAGAAATCATTGCTTTGATCAGTATATCTTGTATCATCAACATAGTTACACGAATTTGGCGCTTTTGCCAGAAAGGATCCTCGTGTTAGGTAAACATGTTGGTTCTAAAAATGATGAGCGCCTCGTTTGAAAACAGCTGTGCGCCAGAAACAAGGTCTTTAATCGCCTCGAGGCTCTCCACAGAAAACCGTCACTTTCGATGGTATTTAACGGTATCTGGTGATTTCGCCAACGAGTGATTTCGCCAACGTCACGTTCGCCAACGTCTTAGGTCGCTTCGCCAAAGCGAGAAGTCGCTTCGCCAACGTCCTACTGGTCACTTCGCCAATGTATTAGTTTACTCTAAATAAAAATTTACCATTACTTCTTCTTGCTTCTATGTGTTATTTACTTGACTGAGCTGACTTGATTTTCGAACTTAGTTTCCTTCAGTTATTTTGTTCGGACTTAGTTTCCTTCTCTTGTACGCGCAACTTAAAACACAGTGGGCCCACATAAATGCACGGCACGCCACGCGTCACCGGCGCTGTATGTTGCTGAATTTAACTTAGAGCAATAAAGTCGCGTGTGTGCAACCTTTTCCTTAAGTTCTTCTATAAGGTTTATTTGTCGATAACAGAGATTTATATAAATACATTGTAGACTACTACTACTACTAATTCTATAACTCCAGCGCATACTATAACTTCGATCAAGAGTATATAAGTATTACAAGAAACACAGTCAAGAAACAAAAATACCAGCAATAATGTTGTTTAGGTGGGTGATGCAACTGACCCGTGAGGAAACAGCATTTTTTCTGACGCTTGTATATTACCATATGAATAGACGCGTAAACTCATTGTGTTAAAACTTATTAATTTTACCCTATTGTTCTAAATAAACCAATCATTATAGGCGTTTCATGGTCGAGAAAGGAAGGTACAATGTAGGCGAATACAGGCAACAAAAGAAAAATATTGCTATGTCCTAATATTTTTATTTTACTGGCTTTCATGATCTACTTATCTTTTCTAACATATAGTACGGTGTAGAACTGTGATACTCTACAAATACTATATTTTGGTGTTTGTGTTTACACATGTATATGAAGACAAAGGTTGATTAAATTTTTAGTTCATAAGGAATGAATTCATGATCGAAAGTTTTTATTTAAATCCTTTAATGGATCTAACTAAAAGTATACGTTGGAAACTTAACAGCTTTCTACTCAGTCTCGAACTTGGTTTTCAAACATCTCCGATTTCGAAAAAGGGGATTTCGCTGGAAAGATCTGATATGGGTGGCAGATCCTTGCTAAACTGATAATATATCGCATCTCTGGAACACAAAACTAATGGAATCGCATTTAAAAATGCCACCAAGACAATTCTCTTCCACTGCCTTCGCCAAATAGCCATAACTGGTATGTTCAGATAACGTGGATCAATTTCAAGAGACACACTTGAGAAAAAAACCACTCAATCACCAGTGGAACTAAGGTCTAAATAGCAAACGACATAAGCAAATGTGAAAAGGAATTGCTTTGTAACTAAATAAATTGAGTACCTAACAACTAGCCGTTAACAGAGTATTATGGCAGTAGACTTAAACATCATGCTCATCATACTCAAGTCTCTCACGGTGAGAAGTTTGAAAGCTTCTCCAAGGAGCTGGGGTTCTTTTCCAAGGCTGATAGCAAAAGTAATCGTGAACACACAACGGCGACACCAAAGCACAACGGCAACAATAAAACATAAGAATATCCTGGATGAGTCATGTTCCATAATTGCTGAACAGAAATTCGCGAAACAACTTTTGCTATCGTCCCAATGAGAGGAGAAAAAATTGCAAGTCGTAATTTGCAATTAGTAATTCATGGCTTTTAGAGAAATTTTCAATTGGCCGGCGTAAACCAAAAACCAAAGTAATTACAACAGCCAATAATAACGAAGTATTGCATCGTTATTAGCCAATGGGGTTTGAAAAGAAATACAGGCAAACTACTAGACTGAGGGAAAATGAGTAGTCACGATCCTTTTTCGTTTGGCGTCTGATTTGTTTCGCACATTGTGCAAGTTTCTAGACCAATCACAGACCGAAGTAAAGAAAACCAAAGCAGTACGGGATTACTTTTTACACTCAGTTAAGGATTACTCTATATCAAAATTTCAATCAAACCACGAAAACTCGATAACAATTCAGTGACTTAAGCTCATCCAAACCATAAAACCTGTGACCTCTAAAAAGCTAGGTTTCATCTAAAGCTTTCTTTTCAGCTAAAAATAAAGTTTCGTGAGAGAAGTTCTAAAATTTCGCATTTTTTTCTGGTTGCGTTCTATTTCTTCGTTCAAGTCTTCCTGGTTTGTAGCCATAACTGCCTAAACACTTTTCTTTAGCCTGTAAATGAAACAAGAAAACAAACCAAAATTAATGAACAAAAATTTCACATTTCCCAGGATATGGTTCTCCGCAAAGTGATTGGAATTCGGAATGTTAATTTATTGAGAAAAAAAAAGAGGGAGAACCTGAAGAAAAAACGCGGAGAGAAAAGGCGCCGATCAACAACAAAATCAGCCGACATGAAAAGCAAGGTCGTGGATATAACCCGGCCAAAATAGTGGGAAGCAAGTGTTCTCACAACAGTACCACCCTGGTCCTCGGGTAAATTGAGCAGCAGTAATTTGTGAATACCTCTGACTTAAACTTGTATGCTTTACAATGTTCTCCTAACAAGCGACTTTTGTTCAAGTACAAATAGCATATCTTAATATAACTTAACAACCAGATAAATGTATACATAACTCGCTTTACAGACATTTTCTTCAGTTACCATCTTTCCAAAAAGACTGTAAAAGATCTCCAATTAAAACTCGTATAATTTCTAAAAACCACCGCGGAATATAAAAGAAGAAAACAAAAAAATGAAGGTATAGTTTGGAACTTATTTCATGATTATGAACGACTCGTGAGACGATAGCAATGGTCCATTTCAAGTCACTAAAGACACTTGTGTGTTTTTCCAGCAGGAAAGAGGAAAGTTTAGTTCATTCCCACGGTTATCGCTGAGAAAGATCAACTCACTAACCATCGTAGTGATTCGAGAAGAGTTAACAGTTCGAGGGTTAACCCTTCGACGGAGCTAGTGCTTTCCGCAGGAAAGATAAGGCTATCGAATTTTCCTACGGATGTTAATTAATCTTCATTATTATCAAGTTGAAAAGCACGTGACGTGTGCTTTTCCCTTCTTACCTTGTATGGGTTGAAGACTGACATAGTGTACCTCATGAATATGTCCCAGTACTAGTGGCTTGCTTTCGTCAACAGGACAATGTGGCCTGATGACTACATCATTGTGTAGACTGCTGACCACATGAATGCACGTTTTAAAGCAATTCGCAGCTGCACAGAGAATGAGGTGATCACCCCAAGCGCCATCTTGTTTCATATATGTCAGGTAATCAGCCCATGTTTCATGGCCATGGACAAAGTGACACAGATCTGTTCCATCCGGCTGTAAAAAGAGACAGTGAGAAGAGACAGCAATTAAGACTTGAATTTCAAATAGCTTTTGAACAGAGCAGAGCACAATTCAAGGGAAACTCCACAAAAAAATTTAACTTCTTTACATTGGAAAGGTTAGGGATAACATTTGAACGCGGTGGGCAAACAGCAAAAGCTAAAACAAACATCATTTAAGTGTCACACTACAGGAATCTAAATGGGCAGCAGCAGTTGCGTCTCCACATGATCATGAACCCATTCGGTGACAGACAGACTCGCTATGAACCTATTGCAATTAAATGTTTAGCCGTTCATAGGTACCATCACACTTCTAAGAAATGAGAATTTAAACCAATGCGACCATGCGGGTAAAATGTCAACTAAGTCCTTAAATAGAGAAAACCAAAACATTCAGAGTAAGAAAAATATAGTTTAGAATGGTAAGGTTTTCAAAAAACATGATCGTCCTATTCAGAACCGAGCTAAACTGACGGTGTTCATTGATTCTGAAATGATTCTGAAAGGTGACTCTCTGAAGGTATCTGTTGTGAAAGGGACTAGTGTCCCAACAAGGACGAGTTGCACTTCGTGTAACGGATAGAGAAATACACACAGTAGCCAAAACTACTGATCAACCTTAAAAAATTTTTTTAATGAGAATTGCTACATCTCACCAGTTTTGGGTTTTCCCTGAGGTACTGAACTAGAGATTGTCTCAACTGGCCATGTTGGATTTTGATTCCTTTGACGGTTTCTAGTTGTTCTGACAAGGCATGGAACATGCAGTTTCCTGACCCTTGATTGTCAGAAATTCTGAAGCCCTTATCTGATACAATCCTCGATAACTCCTCTGTCAAGGAAGTGTTGTTGTTGACCGTGCTCGCACAGAGTTGCATCTGTTGAAGATTCTGGAGGGTTGGTTCAAGCAGCCCTTGAAGCAAAATAATTTTAGGTGTATTTCCTTGAATTAAACAATGTATATGGAAGAGAACGCTTCAGTTATGACAGAGAAAAAAAATTACGTTAAAGACAGAATTTTCAGTTTGCCATGAATATTTTTAACCCACTGAGAACTCTCTCGATATCGTCATGACAAGCTGCGTCAAACTTGTATATGATCTGACTCGGCCCGAACTCACTGCTAGTGAAGAAATATCCGCCCAAATCAGGGCCGAGAGGGACACTGATCCAATCGGGTACTCTGATTTCGGTTTTATGGAGGGTGCTACCCTCAAATGAACGTGTTCATGAGAACACAAATTGCTCTTTTTTCAGCTACAAGAGAAGACTTTAAAATTAAAAAGTACGAGGAGCTCTCAGTCAAGTCCTTCAGAAGACAGCCCAATAACTTGATATATATTTACCAAACATTGTCTTTTGATTTGAGAATGAGAAACAGTATTGGGATGAAACGTCGCAGGTAATATTCTAGACTTGCCAGTTAACATTCTACATTGCTACGTTTTCTTTTCCTCAAAAAACAATTATGTCGCAAGGAAAGCAATAATTGCTTGTAAATAACTGGAGCAGATAACTTTTAACCTGACCTTATGATAAAATGTTATATTTTTCCCACCAAAGCATTAACTTTTTGGAATACACTCATATCAAAAAAGATCATGAAACTTGGGATGGGTAAAAGTGGTTTTAGAGGTTCATTTCTTTTGCTTTTTCCTATCTCACTCTTATCAGTATGTACAAACCATTTCCTTTTTGGCGAACATTGGTGATTTACACAAACATTGAAAAATTCTCTTTCATATTATATTTTAAAAACCTATTTCGAGATACAAGATGTATTCACGTCAATGACAGGATAAATTTGGGATACCACAACAAAAGACAAGTCTACGGAAAGAAATAGAAAAATCATCAACATACCTGCGCCATCAACTTTGTCCCACATCTTATCAACAAGAAGGTCACATTGTTTCTTCCAGCTGAACTGCTCCTCATAGGATGTTCTCAGTCGTTCAATCTCTTTAAGACACTCTGGTCTCTTCTTATTTCGGACAACAGCAATTGTCTCAGCCCACACCTTAGGGTCCTCAGAATCAACCACAGAAGATTTGCCGGATGGTACAGAACGCATAGCGTCTCCGAAATCCGAGTTTCCACTTACAAGAATGGGAAGACCAGCTGACAAGGCTTCCAACACAAACATTTAAAAATTCTCTTTCATATTATATTTTAAAAACCTATTTCGAGGTACAAGATGTATTCACGTCAATGACAGGATAAATTTGGGATACCACAACAAAAGACAAGTCTACGGAAAGAAATAGAAAAATCATCAACATACCTGCGCCATCAACTTTGTCCCACATCTTATCAACAAGAAGGTCACATTGTTTCTTCCAGCTGAACTGCTCCTCATAGGATGTTCTCAGTCGTTCAATCTCTTTAAGACGCTCTGGTCTCTTCTTATTTCGGACAACAGCAATTGCCTCAGCCCACACCTTAGGGTCCTCAGAATCAACCACAAAAGATTTGCCGGATGGTACAGAACGCATAGCGTCTCCGAAACCCGAGTTTCCACTTACAAGAATGGGAAGACCAGCTGACAAGGCTTCCAACGCGGTTAAGCCGAACCCTTCCGTGCGGGATGGCATGATACAGAGATCAACTTCACAAAAACAATCTTTCAATTTCTCTTTGCTTTGCAAAAACTTTCTCACTGTCAGCTGACGTTTAGAAATACCATTCTGCAACAAATTTTCCGTAACTGCCTCCTGCTTGTCATCAGGTGCACCCACAAAGATCAAGTGGTAGGAGTTGTCTTTCAGCTCAACTACTGCTTTGGCAGCGATATCATACCCTTTCAGACCGAAGTCCTCAGGGTCACCACGACCAAAGGTCAACACCCTAAACTTTTCAGAGTCAACTGAGGCATGATTTAGAGTTGAAAACTCCTTGAATGTGCCAGGAGTGAGCGACATGATATCTTGCTGCTTCTCACATGATTGAAGATAGGCAGAGTAGGCCTCCGTCAACTTGGGTCCTACCGCTACAACTAGATTTGCCAATTTACACAAATCTACTTCGGCTGTAGTCTTCTCTTCTCCTCTGGCAATGGCTCTCGGATAGTTTTTGAACATTCCGAGCTCTTCAGGCGCAGTATGCACTACTTGTACCCATTGGCAACTATGGGACTCCCTAATGATTTGGGCTTGCCTACCTAACTTGGCTCCATGACCCACCACCACGTCAATTATCAGGTCTTTCGGAGGGAAGTTCAACCAGTCAAGAGGGTCATAGCCTGGACGTCTCTCTGCTTCTTTGATGACAATCTTGTGACTTTCTGCAGCTCTCTTCTCTTCTTCAGAACAAGCAAATTGTGGGACCAAGAGAGTGACTTGCACCTCGCTACGTTTGGCCATAAGGATGGCAAGGTGTCTGTTGATGGTGGACAAACCCCCTCTTGATGAATTCCACTCACTGGCCAGAAGAGTAACTTTCAAAGTTTTGTCGCACTTTGCTGGGTGACCACGAACTGATGCAACTTGTGAGGTTCTTGTCACTGACGGAGCCAAATCCTTTTGGATGATGACATCAAAACATCATTATAAAGGAAAAGTATGTCATTTTCCACGTACGGTATATAAAAATCGTTTTAACTGAAAAAGCCTACTTTTGTTAAAGAAAACTTGTCTTCTTTCCCTTCACGAAAGTATAAACCAGACGGAACGAAACGGACTGGTTGAATGCGTTCAAACATGTCTTGAATCACCCAAAAAGTTAGTTACGCAATTGCAAAACATACAACTTCATACAGTATTTCCATTGCTGAATCACTTTAGGATCTATGACACTATCATATCTCAATCTGTACAAATATTTTCTAAATTGGGTATTCCGATTCATACGACTGCCATCGCACAACTTTATCATAACAGCTATCATAATTTCTTCTTAATTGGTTTCCGTTACTACTTATAAAGATATACCAAGAATGCTTCATACCTGGTTCAACAACCATTTTTCTTGTCCAGGAACTGTAAGTACTTTATTAGACATGCTTTCCATACAGATCAAATCCTGACCTTGTCTTAATTCAAGCAGGTGTAAGCAGTCTTCTTCTGTACAGGACGATTGGTTGTGGTTTGTGCACTTACGACCTCCTTGCTGACAGTAAGGGCATTCAACACAAAATTCATGCTGCATCCTACTCAAGTATGGGAACTCCTGTGACATCGTTTCTAAACTGCTCTCTATAAACAATCGCACACTTCTAGGAACCTCTACCAAAGTTGAATTAGACACTGGAACTGCTTCACTTTTCTTTCTTTGCCTCAAGAGGATTTTTATGAACTTCTTCTTGCAAATCATAATCATATCATTAATGACGCGTCCTTCAAGAACGAACCGTGCACCATTCTGGTAGAGTTTTGGAGGCTGTGACGATCCACTTGCACCACACCAAGCAACCGATTTTGAAACAAGGCGAGTAAAAAGACCATGCGGGACAAAGCCCTCTTGGAAATGAAGATACAAAGGACAAGGATCCGTAGATGATGGCTCGAATTTACAAAGCTCTTCAGGCGAGGACGTCAGTTGACATGGCACAAAGTACTGAACGTCAGCCGGAGATGGTGAGTATTTGGCAATCAAACAGAACTGCTCCATCATGTCCAAGATGTCTTCCTTGTTAACGCCTTGCTTAATAAGAGGGGAGAAAACGTGATCAACAAGCTCCATCCTAAGGACGCCACTTTTCTCGAGTTTCAGCCAGAAATTGGAATGCACAGGATCCTGAAACCACAAATTCCCTATTTAAAGTAAGTTCAATCTACCAATTGTTCTTTAAAAATGCCCGTTTTATTTTGCAGTGGACCAAAAACATCTCCCCTTTCCCCATTACTAAGGGTACAATGAGTGGGCAAAGTAGTTAGCTCGCTATCTCTTAGTAGGCGGACAGCATACGTCCACTCAACATGATTAAAAAATTAGTTAGTTAATGTCGCCCTTACCTCCCCACCCCCCAAACAATGTCGCATTATATTAGGGACCATATTGTTGATATCAGGCAATATTGAAATGGGGGAGAGGGGAAGATAAATGAAAGTTAGAGAGAAAACTCAAAATGTCTTAAAAGGTGCCAACAACGTGAAAAAACGAACAAACAAACAGACAATCAAATTAACATTTTTTCGTAAAGCGCAAGTGGGAGGAAGGTAACAAGTCCTGCTATCTGTAATCATCTCGATGCATAGTAGATTATTTTTTCCTACCGCTTTTTTGAATGCTGGGATGGTTATAAGCTTCTTGAATAGACTGATTAACCACTGCGCCTTCAGAATGACTGTACTGCGATGTTTCACAATTATTCCTAAGTTGTGATAGAAATTCAACATGGTGTAAAACTGTTCATCGTCTTCTATGAAACACACATCCTTGGCATAGGTTTGAAGATGGACAGTATTTGTGTGGTATACATTCTTAGCTACTAAAGCTTTAATGACCTTTTCGAAGTGAAACCATCTAGACATATAAAAAGAAATTATAATCAGTCCTTACTTACAAAAAGGTATACATCAGATAGCAAATTGCATGTGGCAATGTTTGGAAATTTCTAAATGTAACTTTAGAATATGCCTTGATAACATGCCGGATTCGCTGCCTCTGTCAATTAAGATTTTTAATTTCTCTTTTAACAATAAACAACAAGCAATATCTGTAATTTATACTCCCAATTGCGTGATTGACGTTTTTAGGAGTCATTTAAACTGATCATATGCAAATTTCTTTCTAGTTTGCTTTTAACCGCCTCGTTGATTTTTTTGATTGTTGCGAGGTTACGTTTCACAGTAAACCTGACTGTGGGGTGGAACGAATTGGCGAGGTCAACAAAATTGTAAGCTTCTTTCATAGAAATGTCACACAATGAAAAAATTTCATCAATAAATCTGTTCTAGACCAAAGGTTAGAGGGGCTAGCCATTAACAGTCGTTTTTCTAGGTCTGCCATAAAGTAACAGATAAAGCAACTGGTGTGTTAATTCCCATGGCGATGCCATGTGTTTGTATGAATAATCTTTCGTTGAACTTGAAAGAATTTTCTTCAAGTATGAGCCGCAAAAGTTCCCGTAAATCGTTTGCGGGATTTGGTAAATATGCTCATAGTGTGAGCATAGAATGGTAGGATGAAGTAGCGAATTCGGCATGTAAGTAGCAAACATGTAGCAAACTCGAACGCAGCGAACTCGACAAGCAGCGGAACCGGCTGTGAACGCCACTCGTACGTTTCAGTACAGCTATTGTTAGAAAAAAATAAGCTGAACATCTCTTGTGCTTATACTATTATACATCAGTACTTCACCTCACTGGTATCTTCTCTCCCATATAAGGTTCCTGTCGAAGTACTTCCAGGATTCTCGCTCGAAGAGCATGAATTTCATCGGCACTAGTGCCATCATTTTCTCCTTCTTGACCTTTCAATTAGAAATTGTGTGAAACAATTAGTGCTGTTGAGAGAAGCCACGGTGGGGTAGAGATTTCTCCTTGGACTTTCGATACGAGTGTGATGGAAACTAAGACCATGATCCCCAGTTTCGAATTCGGAAAGGTCTATTTCTGCTGCAGCACTTTGAGTCACTATCTTTGCAATGTATTATAAATTTCACTAGTTGAAGATAATTTGGTCAGCGAAAGCATTCGCAATAGTATTTAGATATGCAATCCAGGTTAACAGCAACAAAAGAAAATAGAGGAAATACATACTAAAAAGAATAACCGAAGCACTAACAAGGTGCTAACATCAAAAGTAGATAAATATCCAGATTGGGACAAACGGATGCTAGCAATAAGATGTGGAAAAGGAACCGGTAAATCTCCAGAGAATCCAATCAACTTTATCTAACGATAAGTTTGTCTGTTCGCAATAGAAATCAAAGTAAACCCAACTTCATCAACACATCATGTTGAACCCAAACACATGATTTACCTGCTTGAGCATTTCTTTGAAATTTAAAGAAATTCCAGAATTTCCGCGCGAATGATTTGTCTCTTTGAGCGTTATCAATGTAGAAGAATGGTCGGATCACATGTTTTCCATATTCCTTACTGGAAATCTCACGAATTATCTTGGATGTAACATCCTTAGTATCTTCATATGGCTTGTCAGCATGGGTGCCGACGATAAACACTGGAGGTCGGAGATAGGGAAGCACGTTAGGCGTTTCAACCATTTCTTCTCCAGTTGGTGTCATATTATGAACTGTCACGAGCCACGACAGCAAATTCTCTAGATTTGTCTCATTGTTCGGGTTCTCCAAAGTTACATCATGAGTCCCCTGTCTGGCACATGGCTGAGCTAGGGCATTCAGTGGCTTGTTAAGGTTGTGAACTACGATGTACACAGCTCTTGACGAAAGAAATACCGAGTGAGCAGCATAGTACACATGTTGACCCGCAAAATCCCACACATCTGCGGTTATCGAGGATCCTTTCTCGATGTATGCACTATCAGCATCCACACCTTCGACGATCATGTTCTTTAGGAGTTCATCAGCCTGTTTTTCAACGGCATTAGAAAGTACGGTGGCGTTGATAGCTATTTTGGACTTTGTGCTTAGATTATCTTCTTCATGAAATTCGCATGATGGCCCGGATCTATCTGGAAGCTTTGTGGCCGTATCCTCGTACATGGAAACCTAACATTTTGAAATAAGACGAAATATCAATGCTGTTCATGCATCTTCATTTGCACAGTAGATGTCGATCTATCTCGTTGTGTCAAAACAATGAAATGAGCATTAAATGTGCGAATTCGTTTGAGATCATTCATAAAAAGTCGGGTTTCAGAGTAAAAATATAGTAAACGGACCTCATCGGCGACAATATGTTTTGTGTGCAATTCATCTCCTGACTCCACTCTGCGTTCTTCCTTAGGCTGTGCCCCTACTGATTTCATTTCCGAGTCTTCCTTGTCATCATGAACAATCATGTGATACCTTTCTGTCGCTAACAGTTTTGCCATACCCGTTGTATATTCCGAACAATCAGACAAACTTGACTTGCTCGCACAACTAGGAGTCCAGTTTTTAATTTGCTCAACTTCAATTTCGAACTTTGATGGCTCTATTTCGATCCCGTCCGTACTCTGTTCGTTGAAGTCAAATGGAAGACCTAAGAGAGTCTTCTTTAAACTTGTTTTACCGGCACGATCCTGGCCAACCAATACTATGCGACCACGATAAACATTTACAAATCCACCTCTGAGGGCCTCTTCATAAACCAGTCTTGCAGAAAGTCCTTGCGCCAAAATTTCGGGAGGAGCTACAGCTGCAAGTGAAGGAAAAGGGAAATTTAATATTGCACTAATTGCATATTGTAGAACAGTAAAGTGAGAAACAAAGGACATTTCTACGATACATCACGACCTTGTGAAGGGTTATACATGTAATACGGGGACCATGTTACTAAAATTAGTTTCCATGCAATTCGTATCAACCGTCAGGATATTAAATGTTTTCGGTAGAAGAGGAAATAAAATTTTTTCAAAATTTCAGGGAAATCTGCCACATAAAACTTCCTGAATATTTTCTTGTCGTAAAATAGGAATGGGATTTTCCATCTTGCTTGCATAGCCAGACTTCAAGCGAAGTTCTTTTGCACCATTTTTAGCTTGAAATGCTTGGAGAAAAAGGTTTTTAAAGTTGTACAGTACACGAACACTGCATTCAACGACAAAACCAGCCTTCTTCAAGAACACACCCCGAGACTCTAGAGCCAGAAGGATTGGTTGGCAAATTTGAATTAACCACTCCCACGAATTCTCTTGAAATAACAAAGCGATTATCAGAAGAAGCTTACAACGACACAAATTAGCATCACTTGGTAATCATAGTTAGTAAAGAGTACGTGAAGGTTACATTTTTAAGTGTACGGTCGACTCTCACCCTACGGACACCTCGCTATTACGGACACCCCGCCATTCCAGACAGGGGGCAGCCCCCCGGCGAAACGCATAAAGGAATGACTGAGATACACTGCCGTTAATACGGACTCTCGCTATTACGGAAATACAGACACTTTCATGCCCCCCCCAGCGCGACCTTTCATTTTTTTTCTCTCGCTATAGTGGACACTTCGTCCAAAATCGTGACTCACATAATACAAAGCGACATTACGATAAAGGAAAATAAAGAAACCATTCCTCAATCGGGTGCGAACATGAAAATTTCCTCCTTGCAGCGGGATATTTTTCCGACTTTATTTTTTCGTAGATACACATTATTTCCTATGTTTTGAGACAAAACAATCTTTATCTCCCGTACCCCGCCATTACGGACTCTCGCTCTTACGGACGCGAAGTCCTTCCCTTCCCCACGGGTGTGCGCAATAACGAGAGTCGACTGTATACACCAATTTTGATCTCTACGCGACCACGGAAAGACAGGCTTGACCTACTTGAAGCTCTAATCTTTACAAAGACATTCCTTCAGGAACTCTAAATGGCGATAAAAATCACCATACCGGTAAGGACACAACTGTTACTCCAACATTACATTGTGCTCATTCATTTCCATATTTCCTTGCAACACTACCTGCAATGTCTACGCAGATCCTTCTTGTAGTCGTATTTACACGCTTAATAAGACTTCTGATCTCCTTCCGTGTGAGTGGATTTCCTTCAACCGATAAATTTTTAAGTTCATGCAGTTTTCTAACCACATCGAGTTCCTTGAGTTGGTTATTTCTCAAGTCCAGCTTTTCAAGTCTTTGGAAGAGTATCATACTTTCAGGCAGAGAGGACAGGCTGTTGTCATTCACATATAAGCACGTTAGGTTTATCAAACGAAAAAAACAATCAGGTATCCGTAATAAGTTGTTGTGGCTCAAATTCAGTGATCGAATATTTGCAAGTGATAAACCGGCTACGATAAAATCCAACATTCTGGGGGTCAAGTATTCCTTACTCAGATCCAGAGTTCTCTTTCTGAGAGCCAACGTTTGTCTGACAGCGGATATGGGTGCGGTTAAAGTTTCCACTACAAAATAGAATGATCACAAAAAATTAAGCACCACCTTACAATTCCCCGTCAGCTTTGCCCCTCTACATCCTGAATAATGCCTACACCTATTACACAAAAAGTCTTTTCTGACGCACCATCCCTGGAAACCTTAATTGACAGGAAAAAAGTGCCGGAATTTCGCAGTAAACTGAAGAACACAGCTTAGACAAATTGATATAACTGGTTTAGGTAACAGAAACAACCTAGTTTTGACACAAAGACCAAAAACTCGTACTCCCTTTTTCTTCTGTCAAACATAAAATTTCTGCTATCAATAATTTTTTCCAAAGGGGAGGGGGGTGGGGGGATATTAGCACTAGTTATTCAAGCACATTTTTCATAAAAGCAGCTGCTGCCACAACAGGTATACAATTGTAACCAATATGTTCCCACAGTCACCCCTTCAATTCATCTCTAATCAGAAACCCATACTCAACTATTTTGTTGATCTTAGTAATATTAAAAGCAACAACAGGTCTGCCAAATTTTTGACGAACACTTGACTGCAAAAAGGATGAGACTTCTGTCAAGGCCTATCCACTGAAAACATATCCATTGTAATGAGTGCCGAGTAATGCCAGAGTGCCAGTCAATAGCGACGAGCGCAACTAGTATGCAAAACGACAGACAGCTTACCCGACGAGAACAAGTACCTTGTTTTTTCAAAGAACAACTACAACGAAGACTTCATTCGACGAAACACTCACCGACCTACTACTACCGAAGCTGACAACAACGCAACTCCTACGACTACAGCAACTACACCATACATAAAGGGCATATCTGAGAACATCTTGCGTATCCTACAACCGTTCAATATCTGCGTCGCTCACAAACCCCTTACCACACTATGTCAGTTACTGACTAACGTCAAAGACAAAGACTAACCGAGGAACAGACAACTAGACTGACTGAACACAAACGAGCGACGAGGAAAGGCGATGTCAACAATCACATTGCTGAACACCACTGACTTACGAACCACACTAATGACTGGGACTCTGCGCAGTGCCCAAACTACGGTCTCGACAGGTGTCATTCACTACCAGCACCATACAAACGACTCATTCACGACATTAAGGACCTTCAACGCCAAGGAGGACGTCGATTTAAAAATGAATATATATTTATAGTTGTAATGACTGGATGTGTTCACGATTGAAGGCATTGTGGGTTACGTGTGTGTTTATATGCAGAAAATGGAGATACGCTATTGCTGGGAATATGGTGACGAGAAAACAAGAATAAATTAGTTGAAGGAAAAGCGCCCGTTGATACCATGATGATTAAGAGTGCCGATTCAAAAGATAAATTTTTTTACGAGAGTTTGGCGGCTTTCCGAACTGCCTACACGTAGGGAAAGGCCGCAAACTGTCATATCCTGCTCAGAATGGTTGGGGAGATAAAAGTGTCTGGCGACTGGTTTGGATGCCTACTTGTCATTTCTTTCTACTTCGCGAAGGTGTTATCGGAAATCGGTCACCTTGTCGTCTTCCAATGTTTCACCAATGTATAACCTTTTACAAAAAGTTATACATTGGTGAAACATCTTTCAAATCGGCACTCTTAATCCCCAAGGTCAGTTGAATGAAAAGCGCCTGTTGATACCTTGGGGATTAAGAATTTGCGGCCTTTCCTTACATCTAGGGAGTTCGAAAAGCGGCAAGACTCTAGAACAAAAACTTATCTTTCAAATCGGTACTCTTAATCATTTTCTGCAAATAAAAACACACCCAACCCACAACTCCTCCAATCGCTCTAACAAAAGGCTAACGCTCGAAACGTTCGCTTTGAAACTCTTAACGGTGGCTAATTTACGTTATCAACTTAGTTGATAATACTTAATTACCCTGTTGAACTCTCCAACCGACACAGCACCACAGTTTCTTTTGAAACTTACCCCTTAAGATCAATGAATAGTCAATTCTACCCACCTATTTTGGAGAGAAGGTCTTCCGCATTTTCGACCGTTGGTGCTGACACTTCCATAAAAATCTCAACAATATTGCTCCCATCTGCATAATCCTGAGCTTCCTAAAAGAACAACAAATGAAAGGGAAAATCTCCCACCACCAATTTAACAGCTGCATTTCTGGAAAAACTCCATATTAATTTGGGGAATATAAGGAAAAGAAATATAGTACATCATTGATTACCGAAAAAATAGGTCTGATCAATTTTTGTTGAAAATTTTAATTTTTACAATAAAGCCTAGTAAGAGAAGTCTTGAGAAGCACTGTTGTCATTAGTAATGACTGTTATTTTGACAACCTGAGCGTCAGTCATCATCAGAGTTCAAGGAGGAGTTTTGGTAAAATGATGTAATTCTGTCCCCTGAAGACTAATTCGTTACTTTTGCAGTGATGTTATTGACTGTGACAATCGGGTAACATAATTCCTTCGTCATTCAACCGTATGTGAATTAACTCATTGTTTTCTGTCCTAAAAACAAAAAAGGTAAACAAGAATAGTTCATTCTAATAGGTCGCTTTGTTGTAAGTCAATGTTGTGAAAAGGTTACTTGCGAGGTGCCAACGTCAGATTGCTGACATGTGCCTGGTGAGCATGGTGTTGTTGACATTGGTTGAAACAGGGAAGTCTGCCTTTTAGGGAGCTGGATGTCAAATGCCTGATATAGTTGCTCTACGCGGTTTTCGTAACAAATAAGATTTTATAAGACGTGTAGGAGGTTCCCATGTTCTGACGTTAATACAGCAAGATACATGTAGGATCGCAGTGTAAATAAGCACTTACTAGAAATGCAGTCTTCTCCCTAAGATGCAACCCGACAAATAAAATCACAAAATGATTTTATACCAAAGACATAATAAGACATCATACAAAAATCTTCCAAAGAGCTTTCATAAACCACCTCACTTTACCGTCCTTTCTCAAACATGATTTGCATCATTCTCTACAAAAACTGTAAAAAAAACCTTCTGACCTACGTGATTTCATGTTTACCACACGTAGCACAGTAGCATTATATAAACATGGCCACATTACTTACCTTAAAAGACACCTCTCTTCTACCTTCAAGATCTGCTTTATTCCCCACAAGAGCTACAAAGGCACCTGGCCTGGCCTTTCGAGTGAACTCATAAACCAACGTCTTTGCATCCGCAAATGAATCTCTCTGTGTTATGTCATACACAAAAATAAAAACATCTATTGGGTTATAATAACTAAAAGGTAAGGGCAACCTCCAACCAAAAGGGTCCTCTATTTTAAGGTTCACCATCACCTCTTGATCCAGACTTACTCTTTTCTGATACCGATAGGTGTCCGCTAAAAAGAAAAAATGAACATAGATTAAAACTTAGATCCCTGAAATTTCCAAAAAATGATATAATTTGCTTCCATGCTCATTGTTAAACGTTTTCTTACCTTCCCAAAGTTTAAAAAGATCCCCACGAATAAATGTGTACAGGAAGTACCATTTTCCCATGTTCGACCCTCCTGCTTTATAACAGAGATCTAAAAACAAACATTTATGGAACTTGAACACAAATTACAATGATTCGTGTATTGTCGACATATCAATTTTTTTGAAAATGATGTAGAGTGTAAAGGTCAGCGATAAAAATTACATACTTGAACTTGAAAAGCTTTCAACTTTTGAAAGAAGACATCAATTAATTATTAGCCTGTAAAAGTTATTTTCTGTGACACAACCATAAAAGTATCTTGTAACTTTAACAATCAAAACAATCAAAATAATATATGTATATAGGAAACAAAAAATTAAAAAATTAAGTTATACTGATAAATTGAACAGTAATTAGATTAATTTTTTTTGCACTCACCTGAAACTCTCAAAGAAAATGTCACTTCTGGAATTTTTTTTTCCATGACGTCAGATTCTATCTGTGAACATCAAGAATGATACAAAGCCTTCATAATACAACAAGTGACTTTGTGACTCTTCATGCTGTTCAATAAAAACTTAAGGAATCCCCTACTCCTTCTTCCTAGGCAAGTAAGCATTTACTAGTTAACTAATCAAGTTGCTTAAGCAGGGTTATTAAATTATGATAAACATATGAAAACAAAAAAACAATCAAAACATTTGCCATAAAATTACAATATAAAGGAAAGAGTTGATCTCCACTGTAACTTAAAAATACATCTTTAGTTAAATAGACTCAGGTTAGTAAAATCATTACTTCCAGTGGCAATTATCTAGTTTAAATAATTTGGGCTTTTTTCCTCAATATTCTTTTTTAACAAAAGAATTATAGAAAAGTAGTCGATACAAATGGATCAGTAACAATCAAATATATGTTCCAAACCATCTTGACCTGGAATTTGAAATTACAAACTACTAACAAAATAAATTCCATGAACTAGGTTCCACAAAAAGTTAGTTGTAGGAAAAGCCTCACCAATAGCCTCCCTCAAAGGAAGTTTAAGTTGGTGCCTCCCTCCCCTACATTATCTTCCAGCAAGCAAATAAAGTTTTTTTCCTTTACTTGATTGAGTACATTATTTTTCATAATACTTCTACATAAACAAGTGGTTTGAATAAAATAGTAGAAAGGGATGTTGATTGAAAGCAAGTAAAATGATTTATTTTATATGATCTAGAGGTCACTACAGGAGGAATTAAGTTCTGTTGTCTCACCCTCCTGGGGAATTAATCCTTCCCTCTGCACCAATGAGAAAATAATTTCCACCCGAAAAGCCTTTTTATTAGAATTCTCAACATAAAGTAACAAAGAAAGCAGAATTATAAGAGCCAAACTTAGCATATTTATATGATCAACATATCAGGCACATAATGGGTCAATAAAAAGAAAACCAGTTTTAAAATGAATTTTTGCAAAATTAAGTCTCCAGTAACATTCACAACGGCTGTTAAGATAATTCTCTGTTTTAAGCTATCATAATTTAACACACTAGTAAGTAAAAACTTTGACTGATAATGGATTGTATCCTGCAGAGTATTCAGTTTATTTAAGGTATTTCTGAGCCATGCAGTGATTAGCAGTAATGTCCAAAGTGACAATTAACCAAAAGTCAGATTTATGTGGGCAGTTATGATTAACAAAGCATGATGATCAATCAGTAGGCAGTTAGTTCAGCCAGCCAGTTTGCTCAACTGGTTGCTTTCAAGTGACTATGCTCTGTTTATTTGCAATTATTTAATCAAGGATTTTTTCATCTATTTGTTTAGTTCCATTACCTAGTATCTTTCATTTACTTATCACTTGTAAAGTCTAAAAAAGTGCTTTTGTAGCTCCGAAAAAAATAAATCATCTATTCTCCAAAAGTTCTTTAGTAAACCTTGGTGACACCACAATGCACTACCTTTCCTGAGCCCTAATTACTTAGGGAGTGGAATGGAGAAGAATCCCTGGCTCCATGGAGCCATTCACGGAATCCAGTCAAATGTGCCGGCTCAGTTTCTGAGATATAACCTCACCATTCTCTCCTCAGCTAAAATACAATGTCAAAAGCCATTCCTGATCCATGCCACTAAGTCTAGTTGCCAACCATGAAATCTAAAGATTAAGTTAAGGGATATAAGTTTCTAAAGAAACTCTCGTGCTGCGTCAGTGGGAGAGTATAACAGGGTAGTTTAGTATTATCTACCGAGTTGATAACAACAATTGGCCACCGTAAAGAGTTTAAAAGCTAACGTTTTGAGTTTTAGCCCTTTTTCAGAGTGAATTGAGGAATTGTTAGTTGTGTGTATTTATATGCAGAAAATGGAGCCACACCATTGATGGGAGTATAGTGACGTGAAAATAGGCAGAGCGATGACATGATGTCAGAATTTTGACTTGCTTTAATTTAATTTTCGCGCTAAGACTACTGAATTTGCATTCAATGCCTGGCATATTTTTATTCCGAAAAGGACCGAGAACTAATTTATTTCCCTGCAAGAACATAAACAAATATGGCCGACGATTCGAAGATCAGCGTTGCTCGTGTTTAACTATTTCAGTCATAGTTTTCAACATGGCGTCTCGTCACTTACTCAACATGGAAAATAAGGGATATTCTGGCGCGTTGGGAACTTTTTTGATGGGAGGAAATGGCAATTTTACAGGATATTTGGACGCTTCGAACTCTGTAGCAGTCAATTCGATCGAGAGCAGTTGACTTTATTGATGCACTTTCCTGTAATAGGCGAGTGTTTGGGATGGAGAACGACGGATTTTGAAGAACTGTATGGAGACCTAGGTCAATAATCAATGACAAAAGAACTGGCTCGGGAAGTAAGTGGTTTTTATTTATCGAGTCCCTATGAGGTTTGATGAATAGCAGAATCAGTACTGAATATGTCTCGATCGAGAGCAGACGGAACCATGAGCTCCTGATTGTTATATTTCAGAAATTTTATAAATTTCCATACAGTTTCTTATATTATTTGGACGCCATTATGGACGAAATGCGCAAGCGCGGCCGCCATCTTGTCCAATATTTCTGCCGATGTGAGGGTATAGAGCATAAAGTTGAGCTAAAGCTGTCACACCACCTGCCAAATTGTACTATTTTCGACCCTTTCCATTCGGCTGTCGATCATTCATAAAACACACGTCTCGAAGAGTTTTTTTGTAATTGTCATGTGAAAAAACTTGCTTGTTTTTATAGGCCACATTTTAACAGGATTTCACTGAACATTTCACTCTCAGATTCTGTATTAGAGACTAAAAACTTCAGGCAAAAGTGTTAAACTCAACCTGCCAAAGTGTCGTGTTTCACCCTACCACGCAATATAAAGATCTAGTTGTCAATAGTGCAATCATAATGCATAATGATAATGCAATCAATCCAACCGTGCAGATGCACCTAACACTCTAGCAAAATTATTGGAATGAAACTCTGATTGTAGCTAAATTAACCAGTTACCAGACTCATAGGTAGAGGACCATGTGATTAAGTGACAAACAATGCCTGCTATCAAACAACAGAACAGTTAATCAACAACAAAGCAGGCCTATGATGGAGTAACATCTAATAGCCGGAATTCTAATGAGGATTGACATGCACCATTGACAGCATGTCAAAACACGCCAAAAGCAACAGACCAAGGAGCTCTAAATAGCAACACTTAAACTTTCAACTTAATTGCCTGACGAAGACTAACAGTAGAGCAGTTGAAATGTTGCGATCAATACACAATTATTAGCCTGACTCTTACATTGTGGGACAAACGATGGTAAAATTTCCGCACAGCCCCATACTATTGTAAAACAAATCTGTTTTCCCAATGGCAATGTATTGTTTTTGTCATTGTTTTCTCTATTCAAGAACTGAATGCATAATGTAGTATGGGGCTGTACGGAAATTTTACCCAAACGATTAAATGTTCATTTATAGATTCTTAAACATAAGAGATATTTGAGAACTGGTTAAACCATGACAATTTTGCGTCGATTTAAGTAGGTACCCTCCTTTTAGTGGGTCGTTAAGTATTCAGATATTCATGCTAGTGGTTAGTTTCATTTGCGAATCAGTGGGGTTCTCGTCGGATTTCACTCGTAAATAAAAGACCGCTATAGAAATCGGAACGCCCTATGATGACATGTGTGACAATTTTCTTTTGTTTATCGTCCAAAAACGAACAATAGCTCCAATTCCTAAAAATTTTGCTTTAAATTCTTAACCACAAAGCGAGGAACGCCGAATTTGAAAGGTATTATACCATATACCATTATAAACATAAGTTAAGTAAACTACCTCGCGTATGCGAACGGCAAATGGCAAGAATTGAACTTTGTCGTCTGCCTTTCGGTTTTTAGAGCAGTAATGTGAAAATATCTGCTGTATTAGGAGCTGTCAGGCTCGAAGCTATATATTTCCTTTGATCGAACTTTGGAAAATTATCGGAATGTTCGCGAATGCACGACTTGCAAACACGCTTCACACGCATCGCTTTCCAAGCTCTCTCAATAAAGCTCACAAAATGACCTTTTTTATTTTATGCAAATCAAAATTGAAAACCCTTGGCGAAAATAACTTGAATGCATAAAATGTCTGCAGTCATTCTTTGGAATTCATGCTTCACACACGCCGATAAAAGATGGCTGTGCATAAATTAAAACGCCAATAACAAGAAGTAAAATGAACTTTGGCCTACAATCATCATATATATGCTCATTCAAAGTCTCTTTTCAAAGCTCTGAAAATGCTCTATTTTAACAAATACAAATCAAACTTGAGAACCTTGAGCGAAAAACTTGAAGGCATACAATATTTTCAATCATTCCTTGGAGTTCATTAACACGTTAAAACAAAAGGATCCACTTGTAGACGCTGCCGCTCGAGGTCGCTTAATTGTGCTGTAGTTTCAGTCCTTTGAGTCTTCCTCCAAAAGATCTCACCTCTTCCAGAACGAACAAATCCGAACTTAGTCATTATGCTTTCTGTGGTTCTACGTGGCCCCCAAAGTGACTACCCAAAGAAATAAATCGAGCTTTCTATGCACAAAATCCAGCAGTGACACCTGTTTCTGAATGACACATTTACATCGACGTGAAGTTGTAACGTTATAAAATTTAAGATTTTCAGCGGAATTTTATGACGTGGTACCTTTGCCAAATGAAAATAAATCTTACGATAAAGGAGAAAAACAGAGATTTCCGTATAGTCCTGTATTATTTAAAAAAAACCCGTAGTCCCGAAGGCAAGTTTTTGTTTACGTCATTGTTTTCTTTATCCAGGAGCTGTATGCATAATGAAGTCGCCCTATGGAGCTGTATGGAATTTGTCGGCTAACTGTTATGACTTGGTTCCCGTTGCCGATTGAACTACAAACCTATTAATCAAATTACAACATTCCCTCTTGAAGAGAAAATTTCAGTCAATAAAATCCAAATTGCTGTAAGTTAATTACCCGAGATTAAATCATCACTCGCTTTCTCACCTGATATCACAGAACATGACTAAAAATCAAGTATCTAAATACTCTGATAACTTTCAATTGTGCTTCAGTTACGATTCGTTGTCGTCCTCGAAGCATATTTCAAAATAAAATCAAAATGCTTAGAAGTCGAATTCTCTCTTCACTGATATGTAAGTATGACGTTGATTGCAACTCTTCCTTACATTACGCTTACTAGACATCAAACACCTCTTACCTCAGCAGGAGAAACTACAGACTATACAGGAGCGAGAGATATTAAAAAAACTGCCATAACCTTCGCCTAAACAGCAGATAAACGCTCCAATTAAGTCAAAATCACTTCCGCCCTTCTTCGGCCCAACATGCACTGCCCGGCAGTAAAGCGTCACTCCTTAAATGTAAATGAACGAAACCCGATCCTGTTGAACCCATGCGTGATGTGCGTGACTTTGATTTGAGGGTGGTCACGATAAGTTAAAACAAGCGAAATTTGTATGATAATTGCACACAATCATGAATATAGATCGCAAGATTGATCACGCTGTCTTAGTGCACCTCACTCACGGTAATTAATTTTGATCCTGTATGAGTGAACCCTAATCTGAAGGATTTCTAATGTTGAATAAACAAATAAAAGTTTATCTCGGTTTAAGGACTAGTTGATTTACGTTTGTTTTTTACTACTGTTTTCCCAGTCCCTACTCTTTTTACTTATATGTCTTCTTTGTTCTGCATCACTCGTGAACGAAACATGTTGTTACAAAGAGGATAATTGACAGACGTAACTGCAGATGGTGGCTGTAAGACTTGCAACAACCAACAACTCGTATCAAGAAATGGTCTCTTGTTCCGGCTCATCTTTTCACATTAAGTATTAAACAATAGTCCTTTTGTTATTTGAAGTGCTGAGGGACTTTGGCCGAAGCGACGCGAGAAAGTTTGTGACTAGTCGGAAAAAAAATTTTCTGTCAAATTGCAAAATTTTTTTCTCGGACAGTTTGTTATCATACTCGTAATAAATTTTGGTATCACTCGTATGATTACAGACCGGATTAGACTCCACTCAGTCCCATCACCATTACTTATTATGCACACAAAGAATTAATTCTGACACTGCGTAGCGCACGCGAGATTTGAACTGCTCTCCTACTATGAAAGATAAATCTGAGAGCTGCGAAGTCGTGATTCGGTAATCCGTCGAGCGAGAAAGTGAAAGTTTCCCCCTCCAACTTTCTCGCTGCTATTTTCTCCTCTCAAATGTTCTTTTCGCTGTCTGCATAGAAAATCATGATCGGACAGAGTAGAAAGGGACTGCTCGTAGTCTATGACTGCATGGCGAACGCCTCGCTTCCTTGGCTAAATGCATGCTCCCATCATCAGTGCCTAGCGTAGGGCATCTCTGGATAAATAGTTAAAGATATCTTTGACCAGTTTAAAGCAAGATAAAAGCAAACAGAGGCGATATCATAGTTATAAGCTACCGCCTTCTAAGCTTTAATATTATTTTTTTATTTATTACAGTTTTCTCCAAACCATAAATTATAACATTAAATTAAAATAAATAAATGAATAAAGGTGGAGAGGGAAGCATCCAAAAAGCGCACCAGGCACCATACGAGGGATGCTCCCCAGTAAACTAAAATATGATTAAAAAAATATCTATAATATGAAATTTAAAGAAGAAAAAATACATAAAAATATAAAATAAATCTAAATCTAAAATTAAAAAATCTAAAAATTCTACGATATAATCCGCTGAGAGTAGAACTAAGTATTACCAAAAAATTATATAACTTTATGCTCAAAACTAGAAATACTAACAGATTCTTCTATACCACTGGGTAAGCTATTCCATTCATTGATAATGCGGAGTAAATAACTGTACTTAAAACTAATACTTCTACTATACATACTAACAAGGTCAAGAGAGTCATTTTTCCTTAAATTATAATCTACATTACGTTTTTTACAGAATAGCAACTTATCAGAAATATCTATATTGTAATGTTCTTTCATTAAATTAAATAAAAATACAACATCCCTGCTAAATCTCCTATTATATAAACTTTGTAAATCTAATTGTTTTAGTCTAATATTATAATCCTCGTTATACTTTAGGATAAACTTGGTTGCCCTCCTCTGAATTGCCTCTATTCTATTATAATTACGTTGAGTTTGAGGATTCCAGGTCTCACATGAATACTTAGGCAATGGTCTAACAAGACTACGGTATAATGTTCTTAATCTAGTAATATCCTTAACCAAGAGCCTTATTAGCCTTAGCAGTTATAGAATCTATATGTGAATTCCATGATAAATTAGAGCTAGTAAGCAGACCTAAGTCCTCATATGTATATACACTTTCCAAACACTGATCATTTATGTAATAATCCCTAACAAGAGGACTCCTTTTCCTAGTGATTCTCATGATCTTACATCTCTTAGTACTAATTTTTATTTTATTATCCTCACCCCAGTCAGAAATCGTATCCATGTCACCCTGAAAAGATGACATATCCTCTGGAGAATTGATAATCCTATATAATTTGCTATCATCAGCATATAAAAGCAATTGAACTATCCTTACTGATAACCCCTGGAAAATAATAAATATAAATAATAAAAAATAAAGGTCCCAACAGGGAGCCTTGAGGCACACCAGAGGTAATTGTTAGCCAATCAGATCCTTGCCCTTTTACAACCACTCTCTGCTGATAGTCAGTAAGATAATCTCTACACCATTCCAAAAGACTACCACCAACTCCATACTTGTATAACTTAGTCAGAAGAATTGTGGGATTCACAAGGTCAAAGGCCTTAGCAAAATCGATAAACATCACATCAACTTGTCCACTGTTATCGAGGGCCTTAGACCAGTCATGATGTACCAAGAGAAGCTGTGTTGTACAGGATCTACCCCTTAGGAATCCATGATGATAAGTATTAATAAACTCAATAACTTGTCCATAAATTGTTCACCTTTATGCAACCGTCGCCCCTACCCGTCCTCCGCACCATCTTTATTTGCACCGAATTTTTCTTTCCTTCAGTCTTTCCGAGCGCTTAAATTTTCCGCTCGTATGTTAATCGGAAACTTCGACAAATCCCTCATGTGTTCAGAAACTGTTGCGTCATTGTTCAAAAATGGCCATATAGGGCCATTTTTCGCTTGTACAACAAAGCCTATTGTTGTCAATGTTGAGCCACTTTTCTTGATTCTGCGTCACTCGTGAACAAAACAGGTTCTTACAAAGAGGATAGTTGACAGACGTAATTGCAGATGGTGGTTGTAAGACTTGTAAGTTAAGTAACAAACAACAAAAAAAGAAATTTCGTCTTTATTTAAGGGGGCTGGCGGGTGGAAAGAGGAAGCCATTAGAACTCAGAGCAAATCTTTGAAGCACGGACAAGAGCCAAAACTAGGGACCTGATTAAACGGTCTCTGATACTAAAGAACTCTCCCCCTCAAGACAACTTTACAGAACGTCACTATGTAGTTGCAGGTTAAACAAAAAACACACACAAAAGTAGAAAACATGCAGACTCCATTTCGTACATCTTTTTATTGGGTCTATCACAAATTACACATAATCTTTCTTGGTATTCGGTCCATTAGTCATCCAGCTATAAAGCCAACAGCCTTTTGTCCGGGTTTAGTTTTGGGCCCAGACTTCGCCTCGCCCTGTTTTGTCAGAGCTAAGTACCAGGCAGAATTAAAAGTGGATTGGTAAGAATTGCGCTTCATTCCAAAAATCTCTTTGAAGACGCAAAACGTAAGTTTTAGATAAAACATACATTTTTGAGGACGTACGCTCTTCATTTGTATCGAGTTTCCGTGGTTTGATAAGAATTTTTATGTGAAACATAAAAATTTATTTTCGGAATTTCAATAATTATTTGCCGAAAATGAAATAACAAAGAATATAGATGCCCCCCCCCCCCCCCACCATATTTGACATATTTACTTATTATTGGCCACGTTTGCCACTAAATACGTCATAATACTGAATAATTCTAATTTACCTCTTACCCCATTGGAAATCCATAGTAGTAGCTGCCGTTACAGCGGAGCGCTTCAGTCCTCTGATCTTGTTTCAATAAAGGTTTTACCCTGATTACTTAAGATAAAGTTATTACAACCACATAAATTGAGCTTTAAGATGATGAAAAATTTTCCTCGTTAAAATACATGTATTGCAAATGTTGTTTTCGTGCAGTTATTATATTTATTAAAGCATTTATCACCAGGATAAAATAAACTTATCGCAATATTCAGAGACACATCCGTAGAGTTCATAACTGTAGGACCGTATCGTAACTAAGAGAATATAGTTTATGTCGAAAATTTTACTAACTGATGGGTTACTCGGGAAAAAAATAGTTTAAGATTCGTGTTGAGATGGAGGTGGGTATTTTGGAATTTCTGTGTTTAACCTTTGCATTTGTTGACTCCAGCCCAAGCTGTGTAGTTTTTTCGCCTCCAAAAATTCTTTAATCAAATAAACACCACATCCCTTAGAATATAAGTCAACATCGCTACAATTTCAGTTCTAAGACTACTAAAGTGAAACGTGTATTTAATTATATGTGATTAAAATCTCAGAAATTATAGATTAAAGTAATTAGAGACCCTACCTCTCTCCCTGACTGTAAATAAAATTTCAACGTTATTTTTGTTATTTAAAAGATTAAAGTTCCATGCATGTTAACTTAAACCCATGTTTATGATCGCTTGATTGGCTACCGAGAAGAAGTTAGGGCGAACCTGTCAGGCAAAACAAATTTGCTCATTAAAAGATCACGGCTCACCTACCAGAGACAAGATTGCAAATCCTTCACCTAAGTCTGCCATTTTGTTTCATAACTTGCCTAGCTCTTCTGAGAGAGACTAGCGTTTTAAGGAGGACGGCAGCTCAGTACTTTTCCGACGTTTGAAACTGAGCATCTAGACTCAGGTCATTCAATATCATGATCCACACTCAGGTCGTTCAATATCATGATCCACGCCCAGGTCATTCAATATCATGATCCACACTCAGGTCATTCAATATCATGATCCACACTCAGGTCATCAATATCACGATCCAGACTCAGGTCAGTCATTATGAACCGTCAGTGAGACACACTTAATGAACCTTGAGATAAAAAATTTTGGTTGAAAGTCTAAAACATAAATTTGTCTTCCAATCTGTCATTACGTTTCTCGTAACGCACATCACGCACGGGTTTAGCTAATCCGGGCTCGTTCGTTGGTTTTTCATTGAATAGGAGGAAAGATAATTGCTTTTACAAACTGAATTGATCATTTAAATTGGCCGCCTTAAATTATTTTCTCAAGCTGACATTTCGTCTTCGAAAAATAAATAATTTGATTCCCCAGCACTCGACCGAAATGTATTTTCCACCTTTTTCTACCCATGATTTAGAAGATTTTGATTCTTATCAACTTCTGCCCTTGAGTACACGTAATACAAAATAGCTACCCTCACAGCTGTACCTCTGAAATTCTTGTGAACGAAAGAAGAATGAGGGAAACGATTTCAAGGTCATTTCATTTTTATGCACGTGTAGGTGTTTGAAAACACATGAATTGAGCTTGTAGTTGTAAATTAAGTGAGTGAAACAAAGGCAAAATTTTCGCTCTGACAAAGAGCCAACGCTCGAAACGTCAGCTTCGAAGCTCTTTACGGTGGCTATTTTACATTATCAACTCAGTTGTTAAAACCAAATTATCTTCCTATACTCCCCCAACGACGCAGCACCACAGTTTCTTTAGAAACTAACCTTCTTTATACATCTTTCTTAGTTTTATTGAGTGGTTCCGCTTAAGTGAACTTTCGATTAAAGTGGGAAAAAATACCAACAGGCTGTTTGGACTTTGTAAAGGATAACCACTATCGCCTCATAGAGGACTTTGACAGCCGACCGCTTAATAAAAGGTGATTGGTTAGTAAAGGTTTTACTTAACTTGTGATTTAGCGTGGACACGACCGGAAATATGCGACTGTCGCACAAGCTTGTAATGGAGCGCAACAACCCCGAAGAGCCTGAATTCAGTGTAAAATACGGTGATTATCTTAGGAATTCTATTTGACAAGGATATTACTCTGAAACTCTAAAATAGCTCATTTGAAACACGGATATCATCAAAAGCAGAAGATCTCCGTGATAAATAAACAAGTATTTAATGTCTTAATTTAAAATTGCATAAATAAATAAATGATTGTTTTTCTCTTAGGAAGAGAGCGTGACAAAAAGGACGCAAAGGTAAAAATGTAACTCGCTGACGAAGGAAAATTATGAAGAAATTAACGCATTGTTATTATCTAATGAGGGAAAACCATGATTGAAGGTATGCAAAATGGATTAAAAGCGTTGTCATTCTATCACACAAGATAAAACCAACAAGCGCGCTGAGTTACTTGTTATTGGCTGAGTGACCGGCCACACTGCGAATCGAGCCGCAGTAGTCCTAAGACGTACAACTGAAAAAAGGTAAAACAAAAAGTAGATAAGCTACATTTGAACGATTGTGGAGAAGATGTTCAGTCGTCTTGTCTCGAGTGTTGGACAAAAGTTAAAAAATTAACAGTCCCCATGAGGAATCGAATGTCAAACCTTTTGATTTCGAGCTCCGATGCCCTCACCACCGGGCCACAGAGACCCCACGATGAGTTACGCCATTATTAGTATCATGGTTGAGACGCGTCTTTCATACAGCTACGATAAGCAATGTCGAAAGCGTCATAAGAACGAGACGAGACGAAAAAACGCCTTTCTTAGTCACTTTGTTGTGCTCAAAATTTACCATCTTTCTTATTTGAAAGGTTATTCGAAGAAGTTAATCAACTCTACAAAGAGCGATATGCCGCCCTAACCCGTGGCAAGTTCTAGAAAAATCCAATGCCCCAGTTGTCTTGTATAAGACGGCGAATTTTGGTACATCAGCTTATGTAACAGGCGCCATTGTAATTTCTGAGGTTTGCTTCACAGCGGTGGCCGGAGATTGCCACCATGTGCCGCGATGGAACGTGCGCGTGGGACCACGGCGCGATCGTAATCGCTCTGACAGTATGATTTGGATAAATTTTTGACAGTGACGCCAGTTTGGATATATCTTTCATAATTCCTGTTATGTTTTGTCTTTAAACGCGAAACTGCACTGTACGAGTGTTAGCCATGTTTGAAGGTTTTGTTACCGCAATTAAGCTTATGACAATCTTAGAGCGTGAAAACCTTAGAAAAGCCGGTAAGTCCATTTTCTAGTTTAAACGAATAGATGCTTAAAAATCCAGTGTAGCTCCTGAATTTTAGTCCCCAAAAGAAGAAATACCACGTATCACTGAAGAGTATAGGTTGAGGGGCTTAAATTTCTGTCGCTTACCCTGCCGGCTTTTCTTCCTTCTGCAATTTTTTTTCTTTTTTTTTTACCCAAAGAATAATGGGGGAAGGGCGGGCCCTCCCCTAGATCGGCCAATGATATGTTTTAACACAAGCACATTCCAAGTCGGACACTTATTACCTGGAAAGGAGTTAAGGACACCGCTTAATCAAATAGTTAACACATAGCTCCAATAAAAAATTTCCGTTTCAGTCTTGTTAGAGATTTTAGCCCATTTGAACTGAGTTCTCCCAAAATTTCCTTTCATAGGCGTTTCATGTTCGAGAGAGGAAAGTACAATGTAGGAGATTACAGACAACAAAAGGAAAACCTTTATATGTCCTAATCTTTTTATTTTACTGTATTTCATAGTATATTCATCTTTTTAAACATATAGTACAGTACAGAACAGTGATACTCTACCAATACTACATTTTGGTGCTTACTTTTACACATGTATATGAAGACAAAGGTTGATTATATTTTTAGTTGACAGGGGATGAATTAATGACCGGAAATTTTCATCAAAATCTTTTAATGGATCTAACTAAAAGCATACGTTGGATACTTAGCAGCTTTCTACTCAGTCTCGAACTCGGTTGTCAAACATCTCCGATTTCGAGAAAAGGGGATTTTGCAGGGAACATCTGATGTGGGTGGCAGATCCTTGCTAAACTGATAATATATAGCATCTAATTAGTTACCACTAGACAACAAAGCTAGTGCATACAGTTCTGATAACGTGTTTCAATTGCAAGAGACATACTTGTAAAAAAAACCACTCAATCATCAGTGGAACTAATGGCAAATGGCAAACTACATTAGCAAATTTGAAAAGGAATCGCTTTGCAAGTAAATAAATTGAGTGAATAATAACAAGCCGTTAACAGAGTATTATGGCAGCAGACTTAAACATCATACTCATGATAGCATTGTCTGCCATAAGTCTCTCACGGTGAGGAATTCGAAAGTTTCCCCAGAGCGCTGGCGTTCTTTTCCAAGGCAGATACCAAAAGTGATCGACAACCACCATAGTACTGCATTCCACGACTTCCGTAATTCCTACTTTACACTTGTTAAATTACGTTCTACATTCTAGTTTAACTTAAACTCTAATTTAAAGAGGGAGCCTCACTTAGAAGCCTTTATGGCTTCTTCAAACTTCCTCGCCTTTTCCTTTTCCTATTTTGTATTTCCCATGTATTATCTATGCAAATTAGCTTTGTTCCCCTTTTAATATGTAATAAAGGCAAATGATAAATAAATAGATAAATCACTTCCGTGTATCACTCCAAGCACTACAGTGTAGAGCAAACCGTCTAGTTCAGCTTGTAGAAGTGAACACATAACGGCGGCACCAAAGTACAATGAACCATTAAGACATAAGAATATCCCGGATGAGTGATGCTCCATAATTGCTGAACAGAAATTCGCGATGAGAGGAGTAAAAATTGCAATTAGTGATTCATGGCTTTTTGGAGCAATTTTCAATTGGCCGGCGTAAACCAAAAACCAAAGTAATAAGAACAGCCAATAATGACGAAGTTTTGCATCGTTATTAGCCAATTAGGTTTCAAACTACAGAAATTGGGGGCAAATTACCAGTGACGATTCTTTTTCGTTTGGCGTCTTATTTGTTTCGCACATTGTGCGAGTTTCTAGACCAATCACAGAACGAAATAAAGAAAACCAAAGCAGTAGGGGATTACTTTTTACACTCAGTTAAGAATTACTCTATATCAAAATTTCAATCAAACCACGAAAACTCGATAGCTATTCAGTGACTTAAGCTCATCCAAACCGAAAAACTTACGACCTCCTAAAAGCTATATCTCGTCTAAAGCTTTCTTTTCGGCTAAAACTAGAGTTTCGTGAGAGAAATTCCTAAAACTTCGAATTTTTTTCTTTTTGCCATCTGTTTCTTCGTGAAGGTCTTTCTAGTTTGTAGCCATAGCCGCCGTCAAACTTTACTTTAGCCTGTAAATGCAACAAGAAAAAACAAATCAAAATTAATGAACAAAAATTTCACATTTCCCAGGGTATGGTTTTCCGCAAAGTGATTGGAATTCGGAATGTCAATTTAATGAGAATAAAAACAAGGAGAACCTGAAGAAAAACGCCGAGGGAAAAGGCGCGGATCAACAACAAATTCAGCCGACATGAGAAGCAAGGTCCTGGATATAACCCAGCCACAATGGTGGAAAGCAAGTGTTCTCACAACAATACCTTCCCTGGTCCTCAGGTACATTCAGCAAGTGTGATTCGTGAATACCTCTTAATTAAGCGCGTATGGTTTACAATGTTCTCCTACCAAGCGACTATTGTTCAAATACAAATAGCACATCTTAATATCGCTTAAGAACCAGATAAATGAATACATTATTTGCTTTCCGGACGTTTGTTCGGTTTTCATATTTTCAAACAAACTACAAAAGATCGCTCCAAAAAAACACTGTTTTAATTTCTAAAAAGCACTGAAATATATAAGAAGGAAACAAAAACTGAAGGTATAGCTTGTAACTTATTTTATAATTATGCGAGACTCGTGAAACGATAACAATGGTACATTTCAAGTTACTAAATACACTGGTGTGTTTTTCCAGCAAGGAAGTGGAAGGTTTGGTTCATTCTCACAGTTATCTCTGAGAAAGATCAACTAACTAACCATCGCAGTGATTCGAGAAGAGTTAACAGTTTGAGGGTTGACCCTTCCACGAAGCTGGTGCTTTTCGTAGGAAACATAAGGTTTTCGAATTTCGCGACGGATATTAATTGATCTTCATCATTTTCAAATTGAAAAGTACGTGTACTGTGCTTTTCTACTCTTACCTTGTATGGGTTGAAGACTGACATAGTGTACTTCATGAATATGTCCAAGTACTAGAGGCTTGCTTTCGTCAACAGGACCATGTGGCCTGATGTCTACATCATTGTGTATACTGCTGACCACATGAATGCACGTTTTAAAGCAATTTGCTGCTGCACAGAGAATGAGGTGATCACCCCAAGCGCCATCTTGTTCCATGTATGTTAGGTAATCAGCCCATGTTTCATGTTCATGGACAAAGTGACGGAGATCTGTTCCATCCGGCTGTAAGAAGAGACAACAATAAATACTTGAATTCCAAATAGCTTTTGAACAGGGCCGAGCACAATTTAAGGAAAACTCCCCAAAAATCAACTTCTTTACAATAGAAAAGTATGTGATAACTTTTTTAGAAATTTAAACGCAGTGGGCAGACAGCAAAAGCTAAGAGAAACATCACGTAAGTGTCACACTACAGGAATCTAAATCATCATCATAATTAAATCATAAGGAATGAGAATTTAAACAAATGTAACCATGCGAGTGAAATGTCAACTACTTTCTCAAATTGAAAAAACCAAAACATTCTGTGTAAGAAGATTATCGTTTAGACTGGTGAAAAGGTCATCGAAAAACATGTTCACCTTATTCAGAGCCGCACTAAACTGACGGTAGCTAATTGATTCTGAATTTATTCTGAAAGGAATATCTTTCTAAGCGTACGACGCAAATAACTAAATACAGCACTCTACTAGAGAGTCCATTTGAATTAGATGAAAATGTGGGCAGAGACTACGTTGCCCACCGCTTGAGGCACTGAAATCCACGATAGGAGCTTTCGACACAATCTTATATTGGGTGACTTTATTATCGAACTCTAGGAGAAAAAACCTTACTGTCAAAGTGCCTCTCTCCACGAGTGGAAAAATTGTGAAGAAATTTTATGGCCAACGTGAAAAAATACTTGAAGATATCTGGTGTGAAAGTGACTGGTGTCCCAGCAAGGACGAGTGGCACTTCATGTAACGGAGAGAAAAATAGACACAGTAATTAAACTACTGATGAACTTCTAGTTCATTTACTTCTGAGCATTACAGCAACTCACCAGTTTTGGGTTTTCCCTGAGGTACTGAACTAAAGACTGTCTCAACTGGCCATGTTGGATTTTGATTCTTTTGACGGTTTCTAGTTGTTCTGACAGAGCATGGAACATGCAGTTTCCTGACCCTTGATTGTCAGAAATTCTGAAGCCCTTATCTGATGCAATCGTCGCTAACTTCTCTGTCAAGGTAGTGTTGTCGTTGACCGTGCTTGCGCAGAGTTGCATCCGCTGAAGATTCTGGAGGGTTCGCTCAAGCACCCCTGGAAGTAAAATAATTTTAGGCGCATTTCCTAGAATCATACAATGTAGATGGAAGAGAAAGTCTCAGTTATGACAGAGAAAAAAAATCCATCACATTAAAGACCGAATTTTCAGTTCACCGTGAATATTTTTTCACCCACTGGGAACTCTTCCGGTATCACCACTGAAAGCTGCGTGAAACTTGTATATGATCTGGCTCAGCCCCGTGCTCACTGCTAGTGAAGCCATATCCGCCCAAATCAGGGCTGAGAGGGACACTTATCCAACGGGGTACTCTGATTTCGTTTCATGGAGGGCGCTACTCTCAAATGAACGAAATCTTTCCTTATTAGCAGGATCATGTATGGGAAAAAATTTCATGAGAACACAAATTGATCAAAATCTTCACTGAGAGGGCCAGGCTCCTCTTTCAGCTACAAGGGAAGACTTAAATTAAAAAGTACGGCGAGGATTTCGGAAGACAGGCCAATAACTTCATTTATTTACCAAACGCTGTCTTCTGATTCGAGAACGATAAACAGTATTGGAATAGGAAGTCGCAGGTAATAGTCTAGACTTGCCAGTTAACATTTTACATCCCTAGGTTTTTTTTTTCATAAAAAAATAATTATGCTGTAACGAAAGCAATTATTGCTTGTGAATAACTGGAGCAGATAACTTTTAACCTGAGCTTATAAGACAATATGACATTTGTCCCGCTCAAGCATTAACTTTTGGTAATACACTTATATCAAGAAAGTTACTTAAACTTGGGATGGATAAAAGTGGTTTTAGACGTTTCTTTTTCTTTTGCTTGTTCCTTTCTCACTCTTATCCGTTTGTACAAATCGTTTCCTTTTTGATGAACATGGGCGTTATACACAAACATTTAAAGATCTCCATCATGCTGTGTTTTAGAAACCTATTCCGAGATAGAAAATTTATTCACATCAATGGCAGGATAAATTTGGATAACACAACGAAAGAAAAGTCTACGGAAAGAAATATAAAAATTATTAACATACCTACGCCATGAACTTTGTTCCACATCAAATCAACGAGAAGGTCACATTGTTTCTCCCAGCTGAACTGCATTTCATATGATGTCCTGAGTCGTTCAATCCCTTGAAGACGCGGTGATCTCTTCATCTTTCGGACACCATCAATTGCCTCAGCCCACACTTTGGGGTCCTCAGAGTCAACCACAAAGGATGTGCCGAATGGTACTGTGCGCAGTGCATCTCCGAAACCCGAGTTTCCACTTACAAGAATGGGAAGACCAGCTGACAAGGCTTCCAACGCGGTTAAGCCGAACCCTTCCGTCCGGGATGGCATGATACAGAGATCAACTTCACGAAAACAATCTTTCAATTTCTCCTTGCTTTGCAAAAACGTTCTCACTGTCAGCTGACGTTTAGAAATACCATTCCGCAGAAACTCTTGCGCAACTGCCTCCTGTTTGCCATCAGGTGCACCCACAAAGATCAAATGGTAGGAGTTGTCTTTCAGTTCAGCTACTGCTTTAGCAGCGATATCACACCCCTTAAGACCGAAGTCCTCAGGGTCACCACGACCAAAGATCAACACCCTAAACTTTACAGAGTCAACTGAGGCATGATTTAGAGTAGAAAACTCCTTAAGCGTGCCAGGAGTGAACGACATTATATCTTGCTGCTTCTCACATGAGCGAAGATAGGCAGAGTAGGCCTCCGTCAACTTGGGTCCTACTGCTACAACTAGATTTGCCAATTTACACAAATCTACTTCGGCTGTAGTCTTCTCTTCTCCTCTGGCAATGGCTCTCGGATAGTTTTTGAACATTCCGAGCTCTTCAGGCGCAGTATGCACTACTTGTACCCATTGGCAACTATGGGACTCCCTAATGATTTGGGCTTGCTTACCTAACTTGGCTCCATGACCCAGGACCACGTCAATTATCAGCTCTTTCGGAGGGAAGCTCAACCAGTCAAGAGGGTCGTAGCCTGGACGTCTCTCTGCTTCTTTGATGACAATCTTGTGACTTTCTGCAATTCTCTTCTCTTCTTCAGAACAAGCATATTGTGGGACCAAGAGAGTGACTTCTACCTCATTACGTTCGGCCATAAGGATGGCAAGGTGTCTGTTGATGGTGGACAAACCCCCCCTTGACGAATTCCACTCATTGGCCAGTAGAGTAACTTTCAAAGTTTTGTGGCACTTTGCTGGGTGACCACGCACTGATGCAACTTGTGAGGTTCTTATTTCTGACGGAGCCAAGCCCTTTTGGATAATGACATAAAAACATTATTATAAAGGAAAAGCACATCATTTTCCAAGTAAGGTATATAAAACAGTTTTCACAAAAAAAACGTACTTCTGTTAGAGAAAAATATTCTTTTTTCCCATCAAGAAATTATAAACCAGATGGAAGGAAACGAACTGGTTGAACGCGTTCATACATGTCTTGAATCAACCAAAAAGGTAATTACACAATTGTAAAACATACAATCTCATACAGTATATCCATTGCTGAATTGCTTTAGGAGCTCGATGAAGCAAGATCCTTCTATGACACCATTAGATCTCAATCTGTTCCAAGATTTTCTAAATTGGGTATTCCGATTCATACGACTGCCATCGCACAATGGCACAATATCATTGCAGCTATCATAAGCTCTTCCTAATTGGTTTCCGTTACTACTTACGAACGAATACATACAAAGAATGCTTTATACCTGGTTCAACAACCATTTATCTTGTCCAGGAACTGTTAGTACTTCATTAGACATGCTTTCCATACAGATCAAATCCTGTCCTTGCCTTAATTCAAGCAGGTGTAAGCAGTCTTCTTCTCCACAGGACACTTGGTTGTGGTTTACGCACTTGCGACCGCTTTGCTGACAGTAGGGGCATTCAACACAAAATTCATGCTGCATCCTGCTCAGGTATGGGAACTCCTGCGACATCTTTTCTAAAGTGCTCTCCATAAACAATCGCACACTTCTAGCAACTTCTACCAAAGTTGAATTAGAAACTGCAACTACGTTCTTCTTAATTCTTTGTCTCAAGAGGATTTTTATGAACTTCTTTTTGCAAATCATAATCATGTCATGTATGACGCGTTCTTCAAGAATGAACCATGCACCATTCTGGTAGAGTTTTGGAGGCTGTGACGATCCATTTGCACCACACCAAGCAACCGATTTTGAAACAAGGCGAGTAAAAAGACCATGCGGAACAAAGCCTTCTTGGAAATGAAGATACAAAGGACAAGGATCCGTAGATGATGGTTCCATTTTACAAAGCTCTTCAGGTGAGGACCTCAGTTGACATGGCACAAAGTAATAAACGTCAGCCGGGGATGGTGAGTATTTGGCAATCAAACAAAACTGCTCCATCATGTCCAAGATGTCTTCCTTGATAACGCCTTGCTCAATAAGAGGGGAAAAAACGTGATCAACAAGCTCCATCTTAAGGACACCACTTGTCTCGAGTTCCAGCCAGTACTTGGAATGCACAGGATCCTGAAACCACAAATTCCCTATTTAAAATAAGTTCAATCTACCAATTTTTCTTTAAAAATGCCCCATTTAATTTGCAGCGGACCAAAAACATCTCTCCTTTCCTCATTACTAAGGGTACAATGAGTGGTAAAATGTAGTTGGCAAGCCTCCCGAAATGAGTCAACATAATAAGAAAAATCTTGTTATTCATCTCTAATTAGTTTATTGAATTTCCCCCTTACCTCCCCACCCTCAAACAATGTCGTAATAAATTAGTGACCATTTTGTCAATATAAGGCAATATTGAAATGAGGGAGAGTGGGAGACACATGAAAGTTATGGAGAAAACTCAAAATGTTGTAAGGGGTGTAAACAACGTGAAAAAACAAACGGACAAACAGTCAATTAAATTAACATTTTTTCGTCAAGCGCAAGTTGGGGGAAGGTAACAAATCCTGCCTACGATCTGTAATCATCTCGATGCATAGAAGATTATCTTTTCCTACCGCTTTTTTGAATGCTGGAATGGTTATAAGCTTCTTGAATAGACTGATCAACCACTGTGCCTTCAGAATGACTGTACTGCGGTGTTTCACAATCAAACCTAAGTCGTGATAGAAATTCAACATGGTGTGAAACTGTTCATCGTCTTCTATAAAACATACATCCTTGGCATAGGTTTGAAGATGGACAGTATTTGAGTGGTATACATTCTCAGCTACCAAAGCTTCAATGACCTTTTCGAAGTTAAACCATCTAGAAATATAAAAAATTTATAATTAGTCTAACTAACAGAAAGGTATACATCAGATAGCAAATTGCATGTAGCAAAGTTTGGAAATTTCTAAATGTAACTTTAGAATATGGCTTAATAGCCGGTTGAGCATCTTTTGAGGATATATTACATCCACAAGTAATGGTAGCATGTTGTTAAGCACTGAAAAATTCGTCGTCTTGAAAGCGCTTTACGCCTGTTTCCCTACTCGTCGAGTTTGCTACATGTTCGCTTCTAACATGCCCAATTCGCTGCCTCTGTTAATTCACAGTTTTAATTTCTCTTTTAACCATAAACCACAAGCAATATCTGTAATTTATACTCCCAACTGCGTGATTGCCGTTTTAGGAGTCAGTTAAACTGATCATATGCAAATTTCCTTCTGGTGTGCTTTAAACCGCTACTTTGATTTTTTGGATTGTTGCGAGGTTACGTTTCACAAGTAAACCTGATTGTAGGGTGGAACGAATCGGCAAAGTCAACAAAATTGTAAGCGTCTTTCATAGAAATGTTCCACAGTGAAAATATGTCATCAATAAATCTCTTCCAGACCAAAGGTTAGAGGGACTAGCCATTAACAGTCGCTTTTCTAGGTTTGCCATAAAATGGCAGAGAAAGCAACTGCTGTCTTAGTTCCCATGGCGATGCCATGTTTTTGTATGAAGAATCTTTCGTTGAACTTGAAAGAATTTTCTTCAAGTATGAGCCGCAAAAGTTTCCGTAAATCATCTGTGGGAATTGGTAAATTATGCTCATAATGTGAGCATAATTTACTGTGGTAGAATGAAGTAAGTAGCGAATTCGGCATGTAAGTAACGAACATGTAGCGAACTTGAACGTAGCGAACTCGACAAGTAACGAAACCAGCTATGAAAGCCACTCGTACGTTTCAGTACAGCTGTTGTTAGAAAAAAATGAGCTGAACATCTCTTTGTGCTTATATCATTACACATCATACTTTACCTCACTGGTATCTTCTCTCCCATATAAGGTTCCTGTCGAAGTACTTCCAGGATTCTCGCTCGAAGAGCATGAATTCCATCGGCATCAGTGCCATCATTGTCTCCTTCTTGACCTTTCAATTATAAATTATGTAAAACAATTAGTGCTGTTGAGAGAAGCCAGGGAGGAACAGAGATTTCTCCTCGGACTTTCGATACGAGTTTGATGGCAACTAAGACCATGATCCCCTATTTCGTATTCGGAAAGGTCTATTTCTGCTGCAGCACTCTAAGTCACTTCTTCGCAATGTATTATAAATTTCACACTAATTTGGTCTGCAAAAACATTCGTTATGGTATTTACATATACAATCTAGGTTAAAACAAGAAATGGGAAAACAAGAGAAAATGCATAAAAAAAGAAATCCAGGAATAACGGGAGCACTAACATTGTGCCAGCATCAAAAGTAGATAAGTACCCAGATCGGGACAAAAGGATGCTAGGAATTAGGTGTGGAAAAGCAACCGGTAAAATCTCCAGTGAATCCAATCAACTTTATCTAACGATGATTTTGTCTGTCCTCGATAGAAATAAAATTAAACCCAACCTCATTAACCGATAAACACGTCATTAATCATCATGTTGAACCCAAACACATAATTTACCTGTTTGACGATTTCTTTGAACTTTAAAGAAATTCCAGAATTTCCGTGCGAATGATTGGTCTCCTTGAGTGTTATCAATGTAGAAGAATGGTCGGATCACATGTTTTCCATATTCCTTACTGGAAATCTCACGAAGTATCTTGGATGTAACATCCTTAGTATCTTCATATGGCTTGTCAGCATGGGTGCCGACGATGAACACTGGAGGTCGGAGATAGGGGAGCACGTTAGGCGTTTCAACCATTTCTTCTCCAGTTGATCTCATATTATGAACTGTCACGAGCCACGACAGCAAATTCTCTAGATTTGTCTCATTGTTCGGGTTCTCCAAAGGTACTTCATGAGTTCCCTGTCTGACACATGGCTGAGCTCGGGCATTCAGTGGCTTGCTAAGGTTGTGAACTACGATGTACACAGCTCTTGACGAAAGAAATACTGGGTGAGCAGCATAGTACAAATGTTGACCCGCAAAATCCCACACATCTGCGGTTATCGAGGATCCTTTCTCGATGTATGTACTATCAGCATCCACACCTTCAACGATCATGTTCTTTAGGAGTTCATCAGCCTGTTTTTCAACGGCATTAGAAAGTACGGTGGCGTTGATAGCCATTTTGGACTTTGTGCTTAGATTATCTCCTTCATGAACTTCGCTTAATGGCTTGGATCTATCTGGAAACTTAGTGGCCGAATCCTCGTACACGGAAACCTAACATTTTAAAATAAGATGAAATATCAATACTGTGGATACCAAACCGCGTTAGAAATTGATGGCTGATGCATCTTTATTTACACAGTGGATATCGATCTATCTCGTTATGTCAAAACAATGAAATGAGCATTAAATGTGTGAATTCGTTTGAGATCATTAAAAAAAATTCAGGTTTCAGGGTAAAAACATAGTAAACGGACCTCATCGGCGACAACATGTTTTGTGTGCAATTCCTCTCCTGACTCCACTCTGCGTTCTTCCTTAGGCTGTGCCCCTACTGATTTCATTTCCGAGTCTTCCTTCTCATCACGAACAATCATGTGATACCTTTCTGTCGCTAACAATTCCGCTATACCCGTTGTATATTCCAAACATTCAGACAAACTTGACTTGTTCGCACAACTAGGAGTCCAGTTCTTAATTTGCTCCACTTCAATTTCGAACTTTGATGGCTCTATTTCGATCCCGTCCGTGCTCTGTTCCTGGTAGTCAAATGGCAGACCTAAGAGAGTCTTCTTTAAACTTGTTTTACCGGCACGATCCTGGCCAACCAATATTATGCGACCACGATAAACATTCACAAATCCATCTCTAAGGGCCTCTTCATAAACTAGTCTTGCGGAATGTCCTTGCGCCAAAATATCGGGAGGAGCTACAGCTGCAAGTGAGGGAAAAGGAAAATTTAATATTGCACTAATTGCCTATTGTAGAACAGTAAAGTGAGAAACAAAGAACATTTCTACGATACATCACGACCTTGTGGAGGGTGATACATGTAATACAAGGAGCATATTACTAAAATTAACTTCCATGAAAGTCATATCAACTTTTGGAAGATTAAATGTTTCCGGTAGAAGAGAAAATGATCTTTTTCAAAATTTCAGGTAAATCTGTCACATAAGACTTCCTCAACATTTTCTTGTCGTAAAATAGTGACGGGATTTTTCATCTTTCTTGCACAGTGAGCCTTCAAGCCGGGTTCTTTTGTACCATTTTTAATTTTAAATGCTTGGAAAAAGGTTTGTAAAGTACACGAACACTGCACTCAACAACAAAACCAGCCTGCTTCCGACGGTTACGCTTTTTTCAAGTGCACACCCCGAGACTCTATAGCCAGAACGATTGGTTGGCAAATTTGAATTAAACATTCCCACAAAGGGATTATCAGACGAAGCTTGCAACGATTCATACTAGCATCAATCCTCATAATAAATAAAATAGTAAGTGAAGGTTGCATTTTTAAGTGTACAATCGACTCTCGTCCTACGAACACCTCGCTATTACGGACACCCTACCATTGCAGACAAGAGGCATCCCCCGGAGAAACGCACAAAGAATTGACTGAAATATACTCCCGCTATTACGGACTCTCGCTATTACGGAAATGCGGACACTTTCATAACCCCCAGCACGACATTTCACTTGTTTTTTCTCTTGCTATAGCGGACACTTCGTCCAAAACCCTGACTCACATACTATAAAGCGACATTACTATAAGGAAAATAAAGAAACCATTCTTTAATTGGGTGCTAACATGAAAATTTCCTGCTTAATTGCGGCCAGATCTTTTTCCGGTTCGTGAGGCAATGTTAGAAACTTTATTTTTGCGTAGTTACATATTATCTCATATGTTTGGAGACAAAACAATTTTTTTCTCTCGTACCCCGCTATTACGGACTCTCGATCTTACGGACACGAAATCTGCCCCCCCCTCTCCCCCGAGGGGGTGTCCGCAATAACGGGAGTCGACTGTATACGTATACTTCAAATTGGATCTCTACGCGAAGATGGAAAGAAAGGCTTCACCTACTTGAAGCTCTAATCTTTATAAAGAAATTACTTCAGAAACTCTCATTTGAGATAAAAATCACCACAGCGCTAGAGACACACAATCCTTACTCCGAGATAACATTGTGCTCAAGTGTGCAAAAGATATATTGCCATATATTCATGTAACACTACCTGCAATGTCTACGGAGATCGATCTTGTCGTCGTATCCACATGCTTAATAAGACTTCTTATCTCTACTAGAGTGAGCGGATTTCCTTCAACCAATAGTTTTCTAAGGTCAGGCAGTTTTCTAACCACATCAAGTACCTTCAGTTGGTTATTTCTCAAGTCCAGCTCTTGAAGTCGTTTCAAGCATCCAATACTTTCAGGCAGAGAGGACAGTCTGTTGTTATTCACATATAAGCACGTCAGGTTGATCAATTGTAGAAAAATATCAGGTAGCTTTTCAAGACGGTTGTGGCTCAAATTCAGCGATAGGATATTTGCAAGTTCTTTCACGTTCTCTCGTCTACGCAGAAACTCCTCTAAGTGATAAATCCTCAGACCCCTGTCCAAATTTCTCCTACTCAGATCTAAAGTTTTCTCAGATCCAAAGTTTTCTCTTCGAGAGCCAAAGTTTCGCTGATAACGGATAAGGGCACAGTTAAACGTTTCACTACAAAATAGAATGATTACAAAAAACTAAGAACCCACTGACAATTCCCTGTCAGCTTTGCCCCTCTACATTCTGAATAATGCCTACACCTATAACACAAGTATTTCCTAACGAACCATCCCTGGAAACCTTAATTAACAGGAAAGAAGTGCAGGAGTTTCACATTAAGAGAACTAAACACAGCTTAGAAAAATTGATATAACTGGTATAGGTAACAGGAGCAACCTAGTTTTGACACTAGGAACAAAACCTCGCACTCCATTTTTCTTCTAGCAAACATAAAAACAATTATGCTATTAATAATTTTTTGTCTTTTTTCCACGGGGAGAAATTACTGCTAGTTATCCAAGCTCATGTTTCATAGAAGCAGCCACTGCTACAACAGACATACAATTGTAACAAACATATTCTCACAGTTACCCTTTCAATTCAACTTTAGTCAGAAACCTATACTCAACTATTTTTTTTTTTTTATCTTAAGACGAACACTTGACTGCAAAAATAATGTGATTTCTGTCAAGGCCTATCCACTGGAAGTGTTCTCATTTCCATTAACGAGTGCTAATTGGAAAGAAGTGTTCCACAATGGCCACTCTGCAGGAATGGCGTTACTAGACTTTCTGAAGCTTTCTGCAATGCTTTTCATTCAATGTCATGGCGCAACCTCCAAGCTATCAGCAAGTCTGGCTTCATACAAGAGTGGAGTATGTGATAATTTACAAAGCATTCTCTATTAAATTATATTATGATAAGTGGTTGCATATTTTCTTCCGTCTGTGTCGGCATTTAGCCGACGCATATTAAGGAATCCCCTTTCAACCCAGGTTTTTAACAAAACCAGTTGGAGAGTATTGCAATGCGTGCAAAGCGTATCATTTGACAAAGACACCCTGTGAGAAAACACATCTACTTAAAAAAGCAGTGTAATTGATAAGGCAGGTTGTTGGGAGATGGGGCGGTAAAATGGTTAGAACCCTAAACCACAGATAGAGAGGTTTTGGTTCAAAACCCCAAGCTGCATCATGCTGAAATAATCATGATTAGCTCTGGCACCTCATATACCAATGGACTCAAGTGCAGACTTTACCGTCAGTTTGTCAGACACATCAATGAATAGGGTAATTTAGTATTATCAACTGAGTTGATAGCGTAAATTGGCCACCGTAAAGAGTTTAAAAGCTCACATTTCCAGCGTTAGCCCTTCGTCAGAGCGACTGGAGATTTTTCTAGAGTTTTGAGGCTTTCCGAACTGTCTAGATGTAGGGAAGGGCCGCAAACTGCCATATGCTGCTCAGAATGGTTAGAGAGATTAAAGTGTCTAGCGACTGGTTAAGATGCGTCTTTGTTATTTCTTTCTACTTCGCGAAGGTGTTCTCGGAATCGGTCACTTAGTCGTCTTCCAATGTTTTACCAATGTACAACTTTTCGCAAAAAGCTATACATCGCTGAAACATCTTTCAAATCTGCAGTGTTAATCCCCACGGCCAGTTGAATAAAAGCGCTCGTTGATGGCCAATTTACGTTATCAACTTAGTTGATAACGTAAATTACTCTGTTATATTCCACCACCGACATAGCACCACAGTTTCTTTAGAAACCTACCCCCTTTAGATCAATGAATAGTCAATTCTACTCACCTACTTCGGAGAAAAGGTCTTCCACATATTCACCTGTTAATGCTGACACTTCCATAAAAATCTCAACAATATTGTTTCCATCTGCATAATTCTGAGCTTCCTGAAAGAACAAAATATAAAGTCGAAATCTCCCACCACAAAATAACAGTGTGTGTGAGCTGCATTCCTGGAATAACTCCGAGTTAATTTTGGGAATATAAGGAAAAGAAATATAGTACACCATTGATTACCAAAAAAATGGGTCTAATCATTTTTTTTTTTAAGTTAAATTTTTACAATAAAGCCTGGTAAGAGAAGTCTTGAGAAGCACTGTTGTCATTAGTAGTGACTGTCCCTTTGACAACCTGAGCGTCAGTCATCATCAGAGTCCAAGGAGGAGTTTTGGTAAAATGATGTAATTCTGTCCCCTGAAAACTAATTCGTTACTTTTGCTGTGATGTCATTGACTGTGACAATCGGGTAACATGATTCCTTCGTCATTCAACCGTATGTGAATTAACTCATTGTTTTCTGTCTTAAAAACAAAAGGAGTAAACAAGAATAGTTCATTCTGATAGGTCGGTTTGTTACTTCAATGTTGTGAAAAAGGTTACTTGCGAGGTGCCAACGTCAGATTGTTGACATATACCTGGTGAGCATGGTGTTGTTGACATTGGTTGAAACAGGGAAGTCTGCATTTTAGGAAGCTGGATGTGATATGCCTGATATAGTTGCTCTACTCAGGTTTTGTAACAAATAAGATTTAAAAAATGCGTAGGAAGTTCCCATGTTTTGACGTTAATACAGCAAGATACATGTAGAGTCGCAGTGTAAATAAGCACTTACTAGAAATGCATTCTTCTCCCTAAGATGCAACCCGACAAATAAAATCACAAAATGATTTTATACCAAGGACATAATAAGAAATCATACAAAAATCGTCCAAAGAGCTTTCATAAACCACCTCATTTTACCATCCTTTCTCAAACATGATTTGCATCATTCTCTACAAAAACCATTAAAAAACCTTTTGACCTACGTGATTTCATGTTTACCACATGTAGCACACTAGCATTATATAAACATGGCCACATTACTTACCTCAAAAGACACCTCCCTTCTACTTTCAAGATCTGCTTTATTCCCCACAAGAGCTACAAAGGCACCTGGCCTGGCCTCTTGAGTGAACTCACCAACCAACTTCTTTGCTTCCGCAAATGAATGTCTCTCTGTTATGTCATACACAACAATAGAAGCATGTATTGGGTGATAATTAGGATAAAAAGCGAAGGGCCGTCTCAAAGCAGCAGGGTTCTCTATTTTAAGGTTCACCATCACGTCTTGATCCAGACTTACTCTTTTACGATACCGATAGATGCACACTAAAAAGAACAAATGAACATAGATTAAAACTTAGATCACTGAACTTTCAAAAAAATCATATGATTTGCTTTCATGCTCATTGTTAAACGTTTTCTTACCTGCCTCAGAATGGTGGAAGTGACAACGATTCCCATAAACATATGTGCTCAGCAATTCCATTTTGCCCACTTTGCACCCTCCTGTTTTATAACAGAGGTCAAAAAACAAAAATTCATTGAACTTGAACACAAATTACAATGATTCATGTATTGTCGACATATTTTTTGAATATGATGTAGAGTGTAAAGGTCAGCAATAAAAATTACATACTTGAACTTGAAAAGCTTTCAACTTTTGAAAGAAGACATCAATCAATTATTGGCCTGTAATAGTTATTTTCTGTGACACAACCATGAAAGTATCTTGTAACTTTAACAATCAAAATAATCAAAATATTACATGTATATAGGAAACAAAAAATTAAAAAATTAAGTTATACTGATAAATTGACCAGTAATTAGATTAATTTTGTTTGCACTCACCATCAACTCTCAAATAAAACGTCAGTTCTGGAATTTTTCTGTTAATGACGTTAGATTCCATCTGTGAACATCAAGAATGATACAAAGCCTTCATAATACAACAAGTGACTTTGTGACTCTAAATGTTGTTCAATGAAAACTTAAGGAATCCCCCTCTTTCTTCTTCTTGGGCAAGTAAACATTTACTAGTTAACTAATCAAGTTGCTTAAGCAGGGTGCTTTAATTATGATAAACATATGAAAACAAAAAAACAATCAAAACATTTGCCATAAAATTACAATATAAAGGAAAGAGTTCATCTCCACTGTAACTTAAAAATATATCTGAAGTTAAATAGACACAGGTTAGTAAAATCATTACTTCCAGTGGCAATTATATAGTTTAAATAATTTGGGTTTTTTTACTTGAAATTCCTTTTTTAACAAAAGAATTATAGAAAAGTAGTAGGAACAAATTGATCTATAACAATCAAATATATGTTCCAAACCATCTTGACCTGGAATTTGAAATTACAAACTACTAACAAAATAAATTCCATTAACTAGGTTCCACAAAAAGTTACTTGTAGGAAAAGCCTCACCCATAGCCTCCCTCAAAGAAAGTTTAAGTTGGTGCCTCCCTCCCCTACATTATTTTCCAGCAAGCAAATAAAGTTTTTTTCCTTTACTTGATTGAGTACATTATTTTTCATAATACTTCTACATAAACAAGTGGTTTGAATAAAACAGTAGAAAGGGGATGTTGGGTGACAGCAAGTAAAATGGTTTATTTTATATGATCTAGAGGTCACTACAGGAGGAATTAAGTTCTGTTGTCTCACCCTCCTGGGAAATTAATCCTTCCCTCTGCACCAATGAGAAAATAATTTCCACTGAAAAAGCCTTTTTATAAGAATTCTCAACATAAAGTAACAAAGAAAGCAGAATTATAAGAGCCAAACTTAGCATATTTATATGATCAACACATCAGGCACATAATGGGTCAATAAAAAGAAAACCAGTTTTAAAATGAATTTTTGCAAAATTAAGTCTCCAGTAACATTCACAATGGCTGTAAAGATAATTCTCTGTGTTAAGCTATCATAATTTAACACGCTAGTTAAAGTAAAAACTTTGACTGATAATGGATTGTATCCTGCAGAGGATTCAGTTTATTTAAGGTATTTCTGAGCCATGCAGTGACTAGCGGTAATGTCCAAAGTGACAATTAACCAACAGTCAGATTTATGTGGGCAGTTATGAGTAACAAAGCATGATGATCAATCAGAAGGCAGTTAGTTCAGCCAGCCAGTTTGCTCAACTGGTTGCTTTCAAGTGACTATGCTCTGTTTATTTGCAATTATTTAATCAAGGATCTTTTCATCTATTTGTTTAGTTCCATTACCTAGTATCTTTCATTTACTTATCACTTGTAAAGCCTAAAAAAGTGCTTTTGTAGCTCCGAAAAAAATTAATCATCTATTCTCCAAAAGTTCTTTAGTAACCCTTGGTGACACCACAATGCACTACCTTTCCTGAGCCCTAATTACTTAGGGAGTGGCATGGAGAAGAATCCCTGGCTCTATGGAGCCATTCACATGAGTCCAGTCAACTGTGCTGGCTCAGTTTCTGAGATCCAATCTTACCATTCTCTCCTTAGCTAAAATATAATGTCAAAAGCCATTCCTCATCCATGCCACTAAGTCTAGTTGCCAACCATGCAATCTAAAGATTGAGTTAAGGGATAAAAGTTTGTAAAGAAACTCTGGTGCTGCCTAAGTAGAAGAGTATAACTGAGTAATTTAATATTATCAACTGAGTTGATAACACAAATTGGCCATCATGGAGAGTTTCAAAGCTGATGTTTTGAGCATTAGCCCTTTGTCAGAGTGAATGTAGGAATTGTGGGTTGGGTGTGTTTTTATGCAGAAAATGGAGCTACACTATTGTTGGGAATATGGTGACAAGAAAACAAGAATAAATTAGTTGAATGTAAAGTGTTTGTTGATGCTGTGGAGATTAAGAGTGGTGATTTGAAAGATAAATTTTGTTCTAGAGTTTTGACCTTTAAAGATTGAGTTGCCAACCATCAAGACTCATTATTTGAAATTCAGTAACTGTCTGCCATAAATTGAGTTCTCAGACTCATATGGAAGATCAGGACCATGTAATTAGGTGAGAAAAGATGTCTACCATCAAAATGCATAATTGCCGATCAGCAACAAAGTGGACTTATGAGGGAACAATGTCTAATAGTCGGACTAATAATAAGGATTGAAATGCACCAATGACAGCACATCAAAACACATAAATAACAACAAACCAAGGTCCTATAAAAAGCAACTTAAACTTTCAACCTGATTGCATGACAAACACTAGCAGTAACACAGTTGAAATGTCATGATCAATATGCAATTATTAGCCTGACTCTTACATTGTGGGACAAATGATTAAATGTTCATTTATAGATTCTTAAACATAAGAGATATTTGAAAACTGGTTTAACTGATAAAATTTTAAATTTATCAGTGGAATTGTATGACGTGGTACATTTGCCAAATGAAAAATAAACCCTCTTATTAAATCACAACATTCTCTCTTAAAGAGGAAAACAGAGATTTCCATATAGCCCCTTACTATTCTGAAACATAGTCATAGTCCCAAAGGCAATTTATTGTTTTCACCATGGTTTCAGTTAAGTGAGTTTCATTTGGATCATTCATGATTCTGGATGCCAGAAGGATAAAAATTTATAAGTCCTCATTTGCACTGATGAACATTCCATGGGTTTTTATTTGTTCTCCCACGAAACATTGAAGCAGTGGACAAGGTACATATAACACTGTTGAAGAGATTATATATATAGAGTCTAGAAGTTTTTAATTGGAGAATGATTCCTTTGAAAATATGGTTCAAATGGAGAATTTAGCCTTTCAGCTAGCTTGACTACTTTCTTGCAGCTTCAAAACGTCCTGTAAGGAAGTGAGACAGTGAGCAAATACCCTTTTGCAAATTCATCATTACAATTACATGAAATTTCAACTTACATCCGGTATGATGTTTCCATCTCTGTCCATTCCAAAAAAATTCTTGGATACCTCTCCACAAATCTCGACTTCCCTAGGAGCAACAGAAGCCATTTGAAGGGTAGTTCTAGAGTAGATAAACAAAAGCTTTATTCAGTAGAGTTTTGTCAGTAACTTATGTATGAAATTAAAAAATGGAATCACAACAATCTACCAATTATTATTCTTTTTTTCTTTTTGATGGTGGCTCCATTAGCTGATGATTTGCCCCTTCACCCCACACCATGAAGGCATTTATCTCTTCCCCCTTTCTCTTTCTTGAAGTTTTGGAAAAACAATTGTATACAAAAGGAAATCAATATTTCTAAATTGTTAAATATGTTCCATTTTTCCTGCCAGACTTCTCAACACTATCAAAAAAAGTCTTCATGTCTTGAACGGAAAAAAACTACTCTTTGCTTGCAATTGTCACCAATGACCCATAGGGTTAGCTGTGAAGGCAATATTCATACTTTTATACTTTCCATTTACCACCTACTCAGTCAATAAGCTAACATGTAAAACCTTTAAAATTCTGAGAAAAAAAATTAGTAGCATGTAGCATGAATAGTCCAAGTTTTTTCTAAGTTTGTTTTCAGGCTTTTTTCCCCTTATATGCAGTAACACTCTAACCAAATCATTGGAATGAGATTCTAACTGTCACTAAATTGACCAGTTATCAGACTCATATGGAGATCAGAACCATGTAATCAGGTGAGAAAAGATGGCTACCATCAAAATGCATAATTACCAATCAGCAACAAAGTGGACCTATGAGAGAACAATGTCTAATAGTCGAACTAATAATAAGGATTGAAATGCACCAACGACAGCACATCAAAACACACAAATAACAACAAACCAAGGTGCAATAAATAGCAACTTAACCTTTCAACCTGATTGCATGACAAACACTAGCAGTAACGCAGTTGAAATGTCATGATCAATACACAATTATTAGCCTGACTCTTACATTGTGGGACAAATGATTAAATGTTCATTCATAGATTCTTAATCATACAAGATATTTGAAAACTGGTTTAACTTATAAAATTTAAGATTTATCTGCAGAATTTTATGACGTGGTATGTTTTCCAAATGAAAAATAAACCTTCTGATAAAATCACAACATTCTCTCTTAAAGAGCAAAACAGAGATTTCCGTATAGCCCCGTACTATTCGGAAACAAAGTCGTAGTCCCGTTATTGCTTACACCACTGTTTTCTTTATCTAAGTAAAACATAAGTATGCATACTGAAGTCGCCCTTTGGAGCTGTGCGAAATTTATCAGCTGACTGGTATGACTTGGTACCTTTGCCGACTGAACCACAAACATATTAATCAAATTAGAGAATTCGCTCTTGAAGAGGAAATTTCAGTCAAAAGATTCCAAGTTGCTGTAAATTAATTACTTGAGACTAAATTATCACTCAATTTTCCTTCTGATATCAGAGAAGATAAAAGCAATTCAAGGCTAAACTGCAGAGTACCCGGCCACTTTGGTCCGCCTCACTTACATGTGTCGGGAGGCTTTGAAGATCGAGGCATAACACAATAGACGCTATTCTTATTCAATGACATGTAAATGAGTGGCCGAGTATTCTGCAGTTGCTCCCAATTGAAAATCAAATAACTAGATACTCTGACAACTTTCAATTGTGCTTCAACTACGCTTCATTGTCGTATTTGGAGCATATTTCAAAGTGAAATCAGGAGGCTTAGTAGTCGAATTCTTCCCTGATATGCGAGTATGACATTTATTGCATCTTAATTTACTTTGCAGCTCTTCCTTACATTACGCCTAACACACATCAAACATCTCTTACCTTAGCAGGAGAAACTATAGACTATATAGGAGCGAGAGATAATAAAATACAGCCGTAACCTTCGCCTAAACAGCAGATCACTTCCTCCCTTCTTTGGCCCAACATGCAATGCCTGGCAGCTAAGCGTTTACTCCATGGGCGTAGGTAGGTCATGTATGGGGAATGAATTATTATTATGTCCTCAATACATATTATGTTTTATACCTGCAGTAATATGATGACCTACTTACGCCCATACCGATAATGTCATTATTTGACGACTATACCGCTGACAAGGAGCCAAAATGACCCTAGCCGCGAGACCCGATCCGTGATGTGCGTGACTTGAGTTGAGAGTGGTCACGCTAAGTTAAAGCAAGCGAAATTCGAAGGAAAATTGCACTATATTACAAGACGAATTGAGTGAAAGATCGAAAAGGACGAATAATCCATCAATATTAGGCCTCACGGCACAGCGTACGCACGTGAGTTAAGGAAGATTTCAGACAAACGCAGAATAGGCCCTTTCCAGTGTTTACGTCTCTCATTTGGGCTCTTAAAACTTTACCATTGAATGTTTTATCAAAACACAGTCTCTGGTAGTTTAACACATAAATCGGGAAGACTGCGACGAAGTTGAAGGTTCTACCGTTTTATTTTTTTTCTTTTCATCGACTAAGTGGTAGAAATGCTAATTTTAAGTGCTCTTTTGTGGTTCATTGCGCGTGGTGGATATTTTCTGGAATTTCGAAACTGACATATCTAAGAGTTAGCATCGTGTTTCCGAGGCAAATTGAGATTTGGAGTCCATTGTTGTTCGTTTGAAAGTTGTTTTCATTTTTTTGACGCACGCTCGAGATAGATGTACGCAGAACAGAGCAGTTCAAAAGTACAACAAGTGCACTATGCACAAGGTAAGAGTAGATATTAAGTTATCTTGACCCCTATCTTGAGGTGTGTTGCTAGTAAAGGATCAATCAGTTTACTTTCAATACCGCCTACTCGAGATAGAGTGAACTCAGGTTCAATCGTCATCAGGAACCAAGAACAATTTATCAATCACTTTTCGGGTACTCGTTGGTACTAATTATTACGGATCGTGGAGATGATGTTTGACCGATATCGATTGTCATATTAATGCTTATTTCTTTTGGGCTCTTTGAATGTGGAGGATTGACCAATACATCAATACATTGATTCTTTTTTATTTAAATAAAGTTGTTATGTAAATGGTATTACTTATCTTTTACACGGAATATGGAAAGACAGGATAACAAACTTGGCACATTTTTAACAGATCCAATGTTCCACTCTAATTTATTACTGTCATACTGTCATACATTGTACACTATAAATATAATTGGCTAGATACTTTGCTCTGCCCTTCCTGTGCAAAATGATACACCTATTGTACAAGAACACTTATACACAAGTCATATTCTTATCACATTAAAAGTCACATACTGCTAGTGATATGTTAAGTTATCCATGTGCAACAGTATAATGATAAAATCTACATGCAGTTAAATATTACATTTATCAGGGTCTTAAACTGCTGAAATTAAGTGACAGCAATTCAAAGTTTCTTCAATATTGTACTAAGCTACAGTCATGCCTAACAATTTAAAATCAGATACATTACAGCTTCAATTACCTTCTGTTCATTTTGAATGTAATATTGAACTCATTTAATTCAAGATCCAATACAAATTTATTGTACATGCATGTCTCAGCTTTGGCACCATGCACTTTAATTTTACCCTGTAAAACCAGTTACAGTATTGCAAACAAAAAAGCTAACATGTTACATGTACATACACTAAGATATTAAGCTTTGTTCACTTTACTAACATGGCATATATGATGTGCTTTTACCAGGTTAGTTCTAACATGTGATGTTGAAACATTATTATTAGGTGTGTCTCTGTGTGTAAAGACACATTCATGCTGAGATTAATTTAATTCATGCAGTGTGGGTTGGTGAAACTTAATTCTTATGTACAAATCTAAAATGTTTAAAATTTACTGAGCCACCCCTCATGACTACTCTATTCTTTATGTGCAGGCAATGGTGTAATATGTACAGACATGTGTGACGTGGGAAGACAAGAAGTTGGAGGCTGGAAGACGTTTGGAAGACACAACTGGCATTCCCTTGGTAGATCAGAAATTGGTGGCTCCTTCCCATAGTTCCACACCTTTAGCACCACTAGCTAGCTGCATGAGTTTTGGAATTTGTCCATCAGGTGTACTGGTAACTCCCTCAATTACTGTTGGGTTGAATGACCTCTGTCCTTCCAGTGCAGATGTTCCCTTGGCAGAAGCATTCCAATGAAGTTTAAGTTAGCGGCCATCAGCCTCTAGTGACTGAATCATGTATGGTAGGTCATTGTTTACTTTCTTTTCTATCCAAGCTTTAGGGTAAACATCCTTTACTATAAGTGGCCCGTGTGTGCTGTTCTCTCTAATCTTGTTGAAGTTCTTTCTTGCCTCTTGCAAAAAGTGGTGGTGAGTAGTTGGGCATATTCTTTCATTCTTTCTTCGCGAACTTCAAGTGCCACTTCTGTGGTCCTGGTGTTGGTTTTTCCACTATGCAGAATGTTTCCAACAAATGTGGCTGAGGCCTGTTTTGATAACTCTGACCTATTATCATTAAGATACAGTTGAGAAAGATTGAAATGTCTTTCCGCAAGAACATTGTTAACTGGAAGACTGAAAATGTTCTTGGCATAGAACTCAAACAGGTTTGGAGTGGCCTCTTTACTTATGAGTGAGCCTTGTGGTGATAGAGCAATTTCTTTAATTTCACCTAGAAATTGCAGTTCCTTTAATTTCCAAAGAGTGGCCCATTTAATTAATCCAACTCTATCCTTACATGACACCATGTGAGAATGTTCTGTCCATGAACATGAAATGGATTGTTCTCTGTCTTTTCTTGTTGACTTTCAGATCTGACTGGAATTTCAAGAAGCTTTAAAAGCAAATGCCAGGTATCTCTGTTCAGCTCCCATTCCAAACAACTTAGGAAAAGTTAACCACTCTGCTCCATGATCTTTGATTACTTTAATTGCTACTTGTAACATTGGCCTCTGCACTTGTTTGTGAAAATGGTTAATAGCTGCTGGGTCCTTCAGTAACATCTTCACCTGTTGTGATTTTAAAGGAAAATATTCTGATGGAGACATCAACATTTCACTTAACATTTCATGGTGCTTCAGAACAGTTGCAGACCATAACTGTGCTAAGTAACCACTGGAGAATCCAAGTTCT